TCTTTATGCCATCGTTTAGAACTCGATACTCAGTATAATCATACTCCTTGTTCTTATAGCGTAATGAAAAATTATTCCAAACTTTGTATTTATCATCGTATTTTATATTGATTATTGAATCCTTGCATGTTAGTAGATCTTCCTTGGTATACATTGTTGATTTTGGTCGTAATTTTTCTTTGCACACACGAGGTTTACCCTTAATCACTCCATAGTTGTCTCTTAAGAAAATCTGACCATCTCGAGCCCAGAAGACATGAAAATGCTTGCTTACAACATAAATTTTCAGGCCGATGCTAATTTTACAACCACCCTTCCAAGACCTATACGCCTTTACCCAGTAATTACGCATTTTCCAAATCCCCCGTACATAGCTGTCAGTTGAGTTACAAATCTTTATGGTATCATTCAGGACCCGATACTTAGTATAATCATACTCCTTGTTCTTATAGCGTAATGAAAAATTCTTCCAAACATGGTATTCATCATCGAATTTTATATTGATGATTGAATCGTTGCATGTTAATTGATCTTCCTTGGTAAATTGTAGTAATTTTGGTCTAAACTTTTTTTTGCATGTGTAAAGTGTACCGTCTATCACCCCATAATCATTTCTTGTGAAATATTGATTACCAGGTGCCCAATAGACATGGAACTTCTTGTTCATGACAAAAAAATTGATGCTGCGGTATTTATAGCAGTCTTTAAAAGACATTTGCCTTTTCACCCACTTATTACGAATTTTCCAACTATTCCGTACGTAGTCATCAGTGGAGTTACAAATCTTTATTCCATCATTCAGAACTCGATACTCAGTATAATCATACTCCTTGTTCTTATAGAGTATTGAAAAGGTTTTTCGAATTCTGTATTTATCATCGTATTTTATATTGATGATTGAATCGTTGCATGTAAATAGATCTTTCTTGGTAAACTCTGTTGATTTTGGTTTTAACTTTTCTTTGCATATATAAGGTTTACCGTCTTTCATTCCATAGTCATTTCTTGTGAAATATTGACCGTCATATGCTGAATATAGTACAAACTGCTTATTTACAATGTAATAATTTTCCTCAAAGAAATACATGGCTTGAGTACGGCATCTAGGCACGTTTGCATGCTTTCTCCACCAATTTTGAGATCTCCAAACAGCTTGAATAACCGAATCATTAGAAGCGCAGATCTCAATATTGGCGCCGTTGAATCGATATTCGTTATAATGATGAATCTTGTTGTTGAAAAATAGCTCAAAGTGTTTCCTAACGCTATAATTTCCACCAAACGTCACTTTAATCAAGTAATCATTGCAAGATAAATTTAACTCAGAGGAACAAATTGCAAAATATCCACGAATTATCCCGTAGCTTTCCCTTACGAAAGTTTGCCCGGTAAGTTTAAGGAAGACTGTTAAATTTTTACTAACCTCGTAATCTCGACTGGGAAAACCATCCACAGATACATTGCAGTGCCTGGAAGCCATCTTTTCCTTTTCCCTGGTGTTAAAATTCTGCCATCTTTGTTGGATAAGAGTGTTGGAAGAATTACAAACATTTAGACCTTCCTTTGTGACTCTGTACTGATCAAAACGATATATTTCACCCCTGTATTTAATCGAAAAGTTGTTCAACACCATGTAATCATCCTCATATTTGACTGTAAAGGTAGCATTGGTACATTTACTTGAGACTGTAAGAATTTCCCGTCTGCTTCGTTTATATTTTGTCAGCGAAACGAGATTTTCTTTTCTGCCTTTCTGTTCTACGTCTGGCAAAATCCCGTAGTTGAAGCAAGATATATTTTTGCTGATATTTCTGTTCCATTTTGTGGAACTTGAACACGATGTGGTGCTTAATTTCTTCTTCCGAAACCTGACCCCAAAAGGTGACGGAGTTAAGTGTTGTTGTTGTCGTAAAACGTCGGAATTCAGGGCCTCGTTTTTCAAATTTTCTTTTAACTTCCTCGACCTCGTTCTATACTCATGCCTGATTTCTGATGAACTCTTATCGCGGTAAAAACAGGCTAAACGTAAGCATAGACAAATTATAATCGCTTGATAAAAAAGCAAGCTACATCCATGAACCATTTTGCAGCTCTATATAAACGTCACCTAACTTGATTGACTCTTGCTTGGGAAAACCTAGTATTTTAATACTGCTGAGTATTTTTATACTTGCTGAAAACAGCTGTAGGCACATATTAATCGTTGTAAAATGAATGGATGCGCAATTATCTTTATCAACATATGAAATTTAGCTTTAGATAAGGAATCTTTAGCAACATAAGGTCGGGAAGAAATTAAGCAATTTTACTAAATGCCTCTCTAAATGGTTTGTTTTTTAAAATTGCCCTTTGACGGTGTGCGTTTTGTAAGGGGATTTTATCGGGAACAAGATGCCTGCCCATGCACGGCGCCTTGGGTGTTTGTGGCGTTGCAGGGCCATTTAATGAAGACAACAGATAGATCAGATGTTTTTAGAGTAAACACTCAAATCGTCCAAAATGACTTTAAATCGCCAAGCAGCAACAGAGCATTTAATATTCGTTCAAAATAATAAATCGTTCAAAACCCTGGGCTTGGTGGCATTTAATTTTGTCATCACCGCCGCTAAAATAAAAACAGACAAACAATCAAAGAAGACAAAGAAGTCGATGCATGCAAGAGTTGAAGACTGAAGCCACGATTACGAACCATGTTGCACTTTGCAGAAATCGCTAAACAACTGATTCCTCCGCGAGAAAAACAGTTTAAAACGTGTTTTTTAGTGTAAATTGATCTAAACTCCAAACCCTCTTGAAGCAAGATGTTTGAAAACAGTATTAAAGTACTTAATATCTCGTTAAATATTAACTTTACAAGAGAGGCTTATCTATACCTGCGCTCCACGGCCTACGCTGCGGTTGGTTAATTGACAAAGATATAATCAGTTAGCGCCAGCGGGTAGATTTGTTAGCTGAGGCCTGTTCGCGGGCTAGACTCGAAGAAATAGCGGGACTTTCGGTCCCAAAATCCGGGAGTCTGTGGATGATAATTATGCTGCAAGTTACGTTGACTGAAGATATTGAACCCAAAATAAAGCGTTCTTTCAAGAAGTACACCTTACTATTACTATTTAGATGAAAACAACTTGGAAATTATTCCAAAACATGATAAAAGCCAGCTGCATGTACAACTCTTTTTAAGGGTATCATAATCATGCGATGATGCGGAGTATCGTCAGCATAGAGATAGGGAGTTAAAAATTTTAGGCGCTTTGGCATATAATTATTAATTTATATATAATAAATATAGTAATGGGCCAAGGATTGAGCGCTGTGGGATGATTTCACATATTATTTGCCTGGATAATGAAAACTGACCATTGTCCACACACACTTGTTCTCTCTTCGTTAAATAAGATTCATACCATTTTAGCTTAGTCGCATGAATTCCAAATTGCTTTTTCATTTTTTTGGTAAAATGAGGTGATAAAGTTAATCAAAAGCTTTTCTAATATCTAGAAAATCCATATTCCAAACATAAATTCCAAACATTTATCGCACATTTGGATTAGTGCTGACATGGTTGAGTGTTTTGACCGGAAAGCTGATATTTAGAAAGCAATAGATTTTGAGATGAATAATCATATAACTGATCGAAAATTTCTTTCTCAAATATTTCACTTATTATCGGTAGAATTTAAATAGCTCGATAGCTGTCGCATTTCCGTCTATCTTCAGATTTATAAATCGGTGTTATCCTGGTCATTTTTTTATGCATCAATATAAGTACATGTGTTAAGAGATGATGGTGCTATTATATCTGCAGAAATCCTATGACATTTCGTGGGATCGAATAAAGTTGCAAGGTGAAAACATCAATGACCCTGTCGGAACTGGCGCATCTGGATCAACAGTCGTTGCCAAGTATTTCGTTGTATTTCGTTGCCAAGTTTAACTGTCACATTCAAAAATATGCATGCTTTAGGCAGCAGTAAAGCTCTTATGTCAATCAATTGTGTTTTATATTCTGCGCGGTCGAACATTTTTAGCGTTACGTCAGAGAAAGCTAGCTTAATTCGATTAGAATGGTAGTACGTGAGGTTTGGTTGTAAAATAAGTTCACAGAAGCAATGTTTGAAATTTTACTAGTTACTGAGGATAAATATTTAAATCGTGGACATTTTCAAGTATTGATCGATTTAGAAAAAGACCAACTCGACCAGTGTGTCAGCGCCTTAAACAAACAAGATATGGAGCAAACTTCTAAGACCAACCAACATTTCTAACTTACAACGCTGATTTGTTGGATAAGGATCAGCTCACTCGGGTTGATGACGTGTGCAAGTGTCCCTCAACCGTTACTATAAAAGGGCGTGCGCGACACCTGAAACTTCAGTGGACCAACGGAGTAAAAGATATGTGAAACGTTGAAGAAGCTGAACAAGACAAGTACGGACAAAAAAGACACGACTAAAACGATGAAGACTTGAAGCTAATATTCTGTAGAAATTTGTGATTGTTAATATCTACAAGCTATAAAAATTATATAGATTTGACAATAGTCACTTAAACGAGATAAGTGCATAAGACTTCCTGGAATAGTTAGACGATCCCAGGTGACCATTTTCAGTCTATAGATACCATTATGTAGACTTGAAATTTCACGGACATATCGTTGATATTGTGTTAAATTCATTTTCGTTTTAGTCAGTACTAAAGAGCAGTAATTTGTTAAATTTTGCCTTGATATAAATAATTCATATCGTGTTTCCAATTTTTGTGTGTTGCTGTGTAAATACAATTCGGAGTCTGCGGTTTCCATTTAACAAAGTGATCAGAAGTGTTTCCGTCGCGTCGTGTTGCCGTCCTGCATGCTTATATAAGGACTCTTATATTATTCGTTAACAGAGAACTCAATGTTCTACTGTACCATCTGCAGGGTTACTAGGCAACAGTTTTGCTAAACTGCAAGTCTGTTTTACAAGTGGCAGTTACTACAATTCAAACGTAACCTCTGAAGCGGCTCGCTGGTCTAGTGGTATGATTCTCGCTTAGGGTGCGAGAGGTCCCGGGTTCAATTCCTGGGCGAGCCCGTATTCATGTCTCTGTCTTTTCACGAAATTTTCAAAAAATCTGTTTTTTAACTGGTAAAACGAAGTCAAAAATTGAACCCGTTCTTGCATAGTTCAATTGACAATTTGCATAAAGTTTTCCCAAAAATAAACTTTCAGTAAAGATTATAGCAATATGATCAAAAGGAAGAAAGTAAGGCCATCCTATGCGTGAAGCCAAATTCTGTAACTTCTTTGGGACAAGTCATGTAGGGTTGGTTAGATAATAAACCAAACATTAGCACTAACGAAAACAACGCTAACTTTACTTTTTCATAGACCTGCAGTGTGCATAAATTCGCATTAAACCGCACACATAGCATAGCATAGCATAGCATAGCTATGGATGTGGAATATTCTTGTACTCCTCTAATGAATAAGGCCGGGAATGACAATCGTTTCTATATACGTTTCTTTATATATACAATGTGTAAAATAACACTTCTAACATGAAAAAATAATGACATTAACTGTTCGAAGTAATATAATTTAGAATTCCTTTAATAATTTAAAATTTCTCTTAAATAGCACTTCCTATTAATATAGGTAATCATGCATGCAGGTAAAATTTTCAGTGGACCCTATAAAGACTGGAACGATGATTGACTTGAAGCCATTCCATTATTTTATGTCCATTCTCTGAATTTTATGTCAACTGTGAACAAAAAAAACAATAAAAAAAGACTGACACAAGCGCCAAATCGCCTTCAAATTGACTTCGAAGATGGCGTTTGAGTTGTCGTTCCGGTTAACATAGAGTTCACTGAGGAATTTAACTAGAACATTTAAAAATAGCGAATTCAGTTGATGAAGGATATCACCAACAAAAGTTCACGCTGTTTTTACTGCATGTCATTCCGTTCATTGGAAGGTGCTTATAATTATGTACATAAAATCTAGAATCATTCCTACCAAACTTCAGTAATGTACAATCCAAATGCTTTTTTACACAGAGTTTGTGATATTATTAACAGTTTCACTGCAACGACAGTGAAAAAAAATATTCTAGCTATCTGAATTATGGGTTAAAAACAGCGATCTGAAAAAGTATTGCGGTATCGAAGTGGTACATTTCGGAAATTCAGTTTAAACTTCGTCCAACTTGTCATTTTCTCTGCCTTCAATCGGTTGTAATAAACATGGATATCGGCTCTACATTAAGAAAGTATCAAAATATATCGATTAAGAATGAATACGAAAAACCGTCAAAAACGAGGGTCTGTAAAGCTGATGTTACACAGAACTGACAGCTTTTAACAATCATTCGCAGGCTATGCAAATAAAAAGGGGGGGTTGGTTCGGTTAAGTCTGTAACCTGCACGCTAACGTAAAATAGGTAGGGTGAGATATATGTCTCAATGTGATCATATATGCCAATTTTTACCCAAAGATGCTCAAGTGATCTAGTTAATTTCCCCCCTCTTGGGTAAATTTGTAATTAATAAAATTAGATGTCCATGTGCATCAGACCAAAATTGGTAATAAAATTACAAGATCTGGTCACACCCAGGTGATCTCGCGCTCATATTTCAACCAATCAGCGCTCAGAACGTTTGTAAAAATAGAAATCCATTCTCCAGTGTCTAATCGATTATATCTTTTGTTATTCTTGATGGAACCATTCGAAATTTTGTGTTCATGTTTAGTTATAAAAGCTATAGCTCTCATATAAATTTAAAACCGAAATAAAGTATATTCCATGAGATATTAAGTTGTTTTAACGAAGAAATGGATTTTTATATGACAACTAGTCCTAGTCCTCTCCCGCCATATCAGATCACCTGGACTGAATGATGTCTGCGAATTAGTGCAAGGTCTAATGTTTCAATACCACGAAAACTTAGGTAGCATGCTCATATTGCCCGGCGCCAAACGTAACCGTAATCGTGTTCACAAAATCGTAAATTTTAGCCAAACAGAGTTGACCATTCGATTTTAAGGTCAGTTCACATCATTCAATTTTGTCGGATCCATGCAATTCACTTCTTAAGATTGTTTTATAGTCCGTTTACTTGCAAAATATGATAGCAAATTAACTAAAGCTGATGCAGTATTGCTTTATCAATAACAAACTACATTCCATACGTCAGAAGTAAATTGGATCCGACAAAGTTGGATCGTGTGAACGGGCCTTTTTATCAACAACAGATCATATGGCCCAGTACATGAAACGCTGCTCTAATACGCAGACCTATATTACCCTTAAGCCTGACCGCAGGCTCTAAGGTTTGTTGGGCTAAAAATTGTTGTTTTGCGACATGCGGAAAATGAAGCGGTTAATGTAAAATCCTGGGAATTGTGCATATTATTGCATTATGTATTTTGCATTATGTATTACGCATATTATTAGCGATTACGGATACTGTAAAATCGTGGGAAATGCAATCATTAAAGGATGACACTCTTTTGCATCCGCCACTTGCGTGAGCAAGTAGCCACCAAATGGAAAGTAGTAGTTGAAAATTCAAAGCCTAATACCAAGTTGAGGCAAAAATACGTGATATACTGAAAAAATTTCACACACAAAGCTTGTGTTTACAAACCTGTCCCAGTATACAAGCGTCAACAATATCGAAGTCGGATTCATCGGTGCTGAATATCCCACGTTCTGTGAGCTCACCCCCATTGGACTCCAGATTCCCATCCGTCGTTGACACTATTTCGAGTACTTTCTTCACGAGTTGTTCGCTATCGTTTACTGGCTCTTCTGGATATTTTTGGAGCCGACGAATACGATCCATCAAGAGCAAGACTTCGTTATTAAACTTACATTTTTCTGCAATCTCAAGAGCTTTCCTCGCATGTTCCAGAGTTTGAGCCGGATTTACCAGAATTTCGAAATGGCTACTTTTTAGCTTGTAAAATGCAACCTGTGTAGGCGAAAAACAAGGAATTTTACGAAAATAGAATCTAATCAAATATTTTAATCAGTGTAAGTAGAACTAACCAATGGACATTTTTTTCTGCTGACCTTTCCAGAGAGCGATTTTTGCACTATGAAAAGTAGGGATATGCCCGAGTACTACAGTCAACGTTTTTCTCAAATACACCAAAAAGTAGCTCGAGCTTCAAAATTTTTACGCCATCCATGCATGCAAGCAGCCGTAAACTAGACATAACGACTTTCGTGACGTCACGCAAGTGACTCGTTGTAAACTCACTGATATACTCAGAGGGCAAACTAATATTTTTGGCAGAGAAAAGACTGCAGTTTGCCATTAAAGCTATTATTACAGATGCATGACGATTTTAGACACAATCGTGACGATTTTAGACACATGCGCAGTTTTTATTAGCATATTCCTAATTGCCTCCAGCCGACGAAGAATAAATAGAAACCCATGCAGTTAGCTTCCAAAAGTCACAGAACGAACAAATACAGTTCAAAGAACTGCGTGAAATGTATTTGAGGACTCAGGAGGTACGTTACAGGTGTAGTAAGAAGACGTCAGATATACGAACGGTTGGGACATACGGGTAGTGATCTATTATTGATCGATCAATATTTGACCACGATTGTGTGTCAAGGGCACTTTAATGTACGCTCAACCTTTTCCCGAATCAGGAGGAATAATATGAATGTAAGAAAACATACCTTTTGTTTAGGCGAAATACGATTCCATAATTGGCCTTCTAACTCGGCCATCGAAGCATTCAACATATTCGACAAGTCTTGTGGCAAAACTGAATTCACACTTGCGAGAATAAATTGTATTATAGCTTGACATCGCAAAAGTAGTATCTCTCTTCTTATCCTGTCTCTTTTTTCCTTAAATACTTTCCCAATTAGCGCCGAAGAGGTATCCTCAGCTCTGCTCGTATATGAAATTACCAAATTAACTTTACTTTCTGTGCACTGGTTTAAGCAAAAGTGGTAATACGCATATTCCAGGTAAAGAAATGATTCCAGTTCAATATTTTTGTACTTGCATAGCAACTTCGATGCTTTACTCAAGGCTTTTTCGGCCATCCCTAGTTTTTTCCCGACGATGCAATGTCTTCTTGACGCCAAAAAAAGACACTTGCAATAAATCATCTTTTGCGTGTCGTTGATCTGATCCCAATTTGTTTCGTTAAGGTTTACTTCCTTAGCAATTTCTGCAGTCAATTTCATGCACGAGTTGAGATCTCTTTTCTCGTATAAAGCGGCAGCTTGCTCATATCTGAGAAGTAATATGACATCGTGATTATCTTCATCTCGAAAAAACCTTTTTTTAAATTTCTCTATCGCCTCTTCGTGAGCCTTCCATTCTCCATTTTCTCTGAATGTTGACAAATCTTTGTCAATTTCATGAATTTGTGCTACATGGGATGGAATTTTCGATGGAAGGTTTCCTCTTTCTCCAGCACATTTTCTCCTTCGCGGAAACTTTGGTTTTTCGTTTCCTTTTTTACAGCTTCTCGTAGGCGCTTCTTTTTCCGGTGAATTTGCATTATTCTCCTTATTATTAGTAACCTTCACAAATAAAGTGGAAAAATAGGGTTTTTTATATTGAACCAAATCTTCAGTTGGTTGGTAAAGGCACTCACACTCATTAACTGTGACATATATATTTTTTATTACTCATCAAAGAAAAAGTTATTTCTTAATCCATGGGAAGATTTAAGGTCGAACACTGAAAATCAAGCTCTTATTCGAGTGGAAATACCGTCATGGGAAAGTTTTGAGAAGATTGAGATCTCTCACTTAATGCGTTTGAGTCTAATTGAGCTTTTAGAAGGTAAAGAGATCCGGCACAAGTGTTTCTGATAAGTGTTGATATTTCACGTTTCACAACAGAACGAATTCCTTATATCATCGCATTTTATGCATAGTGGGACTGTTTGACAAGCATTAAAACCAAATTTGCGTTGCGGCAGAAACTGTTTACAAAAGTAGTAATTATAAATCATTACTGATTCGGGGTTCTATTATTGCTACGTACATGCGTGGTTGGTTCGCCTCAGGTCAGTACGTACCAATACGCAAACGAGAGAACTTTGAGGTATTGAAATGAGTATATAATATGACCTGGAAGTCATGTAGTCATCACAACAATAGCATGTGCTGCTCTCGTGGTTTCATAAAAACTTATTTTAATACCACGAAATCATCTCACGCTTCTCTGAATCTCAGATAACCGGGCGTGAACAGACCTTATTTAGGCAGATTAGCACAAGGACGTACGTGAACGTTAGGCCTGGTTCTCATATGTCACTGACGGTCGGCGATGCTAATTTCCATTCCGTAGACAGTCGAACTCATCATTGATGGTCGTTCTCATCATTTAACTCGTTCTCATGCATTATTTAACTTAAATGACCAACATATATAACCTTAAACTAGGGGGCTTTTCATGCATCGATGCATTGCAGTGCAGTGGTCAAGGGGTTTGTTCTTGTGCGTGATACCTGTGTTCGAATACTGCCCTAGCTTAACCACTTTGTTTTCTTTTTTCGTATTACTTTGCAAAGTCCCGAATTGAACCAGCGAAAATACCTTTTGGTTAGTTATTTGGGTTATTTGAGGGTTTTGTTTATTTTCTGTGTGTAAATTTTCGTTAATAAGAGTGTGAGCTCGTGTTCAAGCAACCTGAGATCGAGTTAAATGATGAGAACGACCATCAATGATGAGTTCGACTGTCTACGGAATCGAAATTTGCGTCGGCGTTGACCATTGTCGGTGATCACTGATGAATTAAGTGCTTTTCTTCGTCATCGGCCACAAACAATACATTGCCATTGGCAACGGTAACATATGAGAACCAAGCTGTTAAAGGCGAATAAATGGCGTGATGTGCCTATATATGTGGAATTGTGACGCCATTAATTTTCACGTTGTTTTTGTCTCATGTCAAACCTGCCTATTATTATTAGCTTTCGTGTGCGCTGGCATTATAGCTGCCGCGCTAAAAGATTGCGTCTTTGAAAGTAAAAACATCTTAAAAGACCGGTTAAAAACGCGAAAGAAGGAATACAGTTATGATGTCTGATTGCTCTTATATGAGCAAAAGCCTCCTGCAGCGAAATTGCAAGTGCAAACGTACCGTATCGCGTTTACTGCTCACCAATGATGGAGACGCACCAATCTTCGCCTTTTCACGACTTTCTGCCTTTTTACTGCCGACACATTTCACGGTGGGTTGATCCCCAATGACGACAGTACCAGTGTTCGATGAAATGTTAATATTAACGACTGGTCTTGAACTATCAGCAACTATTTCATTGCCGCCGGCAGCATTTTCATGCTCACTGTTCATTGGCCCACTACTACGCGGATTATCACGCGCATTATCATCATCTACTTCACCCACGAGTCCAACGCCATCCCTGGCATTCTCTTCCTCACTAGAAAGATACTCGCGAACGGCGAGAGCTATCTGGCGAATCCAGTCTGCAAAATTCCATACACGCCATGGCAGATACTCATACAAGCTTTTGACGACGGTCTACAACACGATATAAAGTAGGTGTATGAGTCAGTTTGTGACTTTGACAAGCTAACTCTAGATAAAAACATTTTTCGTAAATTTTAAAGGGTTAAAGGGTCTTGATTACAATTGAAGAAATTATACACAACTCAAGTTGAAACCAGAAACAGTTGAGATAAACGTGTGAACTGTCCCCACTGTCGGTCCTCCGACAGGAATCGTGCCCATACGCCTTTGCCAGCTAGGCCAGTGCAATGCTCCGGCTTGCGCCAGTGTGTATTCGTTAAGGATAGTACCATGCCTGCGAATAGGTGCGTCGATGCGGGCCTAATTGGGAGGTTGGGGTGGGGGGGGGTTGTTTTCATACATTATTCCTCTCTATAATAATTAAACTTTCGCACGAAATCAGTTGAGTAAAAATGTGTGAATAAGCACCCCCAAAAGGTAAAAGGCTTACGGCTGTGACGACCGGATGAGTACTGATGAGCCGGCCGACGTTGCAATGGTACAATTTACCAGTTATAATTTCCCAGATAGTCACACAACAGTTATCCCTACATAATTACCATCAATGGTAATATATCGTTAAAAAAAGCAACTGGGCTGTCTGGGCAAGATGTTTGTATGTGATATCTATGCAGTCAATTTTTACTTATTTTATACATGTAAATCTTGATTCTGGGTTGTAAATCTTAATTCTGGGTTATTTGTTGAAAAAAAACTATTAGCCTAAATTATGCCGTCGATGAAACAAGCTACAATTTATGAATTTCATTCTGGAAACTAACTTGCTACAACTGCGCAGAGAGCATAAATTAAGTTACAACATCTCAAACCTGATTTAACATTTTTGTACTGCTGTTATAATTAAGCACTAGAATAAATTCCCCAAGGTAAAACTATACACATATGTTCTTAACATTTTGCATAATTAAATCCTAGTTAACTCAGAAATAGACAACTCCGATTGGCCAATTCTGTCCTTAATTAACCACCGTTGAAACTTGAAAGTTAACTAATGTTCAATACAACTGGGGCCTGGTATGACACAGTTTTCAACAAGTACTTGTACAAGTATAACTTAACTGGTTGTAACTGGTTGTCTCTGTGAGAACAAAAAAGACATTATGCAATGCTATGATGGATATGAGTCTGTTATATATGATATAAAGGTTAACACTATTGCTTATATAAACATTTATTTAGCAGACACACTTTCAAGATATACATATACAGAGAGGCATTAATGGACATAAGAAATGACTGGATAAAACTGCATGACAGAGACATTAAACTATTATATAATATGTTCTTTAAAATCAGTTTTCTTTAGAAAGTTTCCAAATTAAATTTTATATCCTCTTGACAGCCAGCTTTCTTCTAGCAGTTAAATGAAAATGTTGCGCACTGAGTGACTTAATTGTCAACAAGATAATTAAAATAAGCACATTTTAGTGTGACACATTTCATTGTCAATTCAACCTTCAAATATAAACACTTTAATTGACATTGTTTAAATTGAACTAATTTTTAAAATCTTTGCATTTGGGTACCAGATAAGGGCAATTCCATGGCCATCCTCAAACATACTCATTGTGCTAGCTGAGAGTCGCAGTGTATAGGAATTAGTTAATCGGTATAGACACAATCTATTAATATTTCCTTAACTTAGTCTAGAAGTCTCACAAGATTTGATGTATCCTGATAGAGGATCGCACATCAATACAAATTGGTTTGTAATCACATAGCATGATCAAGATACATGGATGTAAACTTGGTTGGCCATGGCTGCAGATTCAGGGGGCTTGTGGTTTTACAAAATACCAGGCAGGTGTAGTACTATGCTATATATATGATTGTTAAATAATTAAATAAGATCCTTTGCTATGACAGAGGTGTTGCAATCAATTGAAGCTATTAATCGCAAAAGAGATATGTTAGATATTTAGCCAAATTTGATGTACACTATCTGTACTCAGATGACTCTTCACCAAAAGAGATTTTTCTTTGTCATTTTGTTTTCTTTTGCATTTTGAATTGTTGTCTTAGAGCTTTAGTATGTAAGTTAATTTGTATTTGTTCATTACTTATGTGTTTTGATTATTGTCATGTTTGAAAAATTTCCTTGTGCAGGGGCCAAAAGTCAAGCCTTATACCAGGATACAAACAGTCTACCTATTGACAGCTAGCCTGAACAAGTATTTAAATTCAATCGGTTCATTAGTCTTGAGTAAACGAATAGAAATATCCTATTGAGACAGATTTAATGCCAGCTATATCACAACAAGCTCACGTGACAAAACGAGCAAGATGTAAACATGAAGGTTTTAAGCAAACTGAAAGTAAGCACTTTCAGTGTGATTTAAAGCCTCTGCAGTTAACAGTGAACAAATTTAAAAAAACTCAAACTTAAAGCTAGTTTAAGAAATGAGTTATATATTTTCAATCATTGAAATATGTACGCTACATGTAAGAAACACATAATTATTATGAAGTATATATCTATATGCTTATATTATACAACACGTCTGTCGTCTAGCTGGTCGATGTCGCTTCTGACTATAAACTATATAAGCCGTTAGCCTAATGATTAACGGACGTAAAGGTACAAGTCTTGGAACAATGAAATTGAAAGATTGAAAACCAAATCTTGGAACAACGAAATTGAAAGATTGAAAACCTTATATATATTAAGCAAGGGCACGTACGAGAGCGTTTTCAACAATTTATATGTTTAAAATATGTTATTTAACTTCAAGAGTGTATCAACAGCAAGCTTCATGCAACATACGAGCATCAATCGGGTCCATGTGGCATTTATGTTGCAATGTTGCAAATATATACCGCATTTATAGTAGAATTCGATCTTTCAGTGAACTTAATGTGTACACAAAATTATACTTCAACAAATATTGATACGTAAAATGTATTCGTACTCAAACGGACAGTCGACCGCATCGTGATTAAATATCAAATAAACTAACTAACCTGTATCATTTGTGAAACACACTGATGCTCATAGTCGTGCAGAAATGTGCCCAAACGACCGCATCGCCTGGAACTAACGAGAACAGCATAATGAAAGTACTTTAGTTACTCTAATCTCTAGTAATTCGAAACTGAGTAACAATTTCTGGGTAAATCCCTGTGACGTAATGTTCTAAAAAAAAGTGCTTTGTCATTTGATTCTGAACATAATTCATGTACAGTTTCCTAGATAGTATCTTCCAAGTAAACTTTATTGATTTTATCAAACATAAAACATTCAACAAATCTAATGAATAAACTATTAAAAGTATAAATTCTGGAAGCCATTTTAGAATTTTAATACGTCAACAATTAACTCCTTAAACGCCCGCGCTCCAAGCTCGGTAGAAATGCAAATCGAATTGTCGAATTTATGATTTAGTAAGATTTTTTGTATCTTTTTGACAGTGATTTTTTGTTTCTTGTCAGATTAATTTTTTACAGTGATGAATTTCTTGTCAAATTTATTTTTTACAGTGATATTTTAAAATTAATACAAAATCAATACAATACAATACAATCAATTCTGAGGTGAGTGCCCTGTGGTTTAATATTGGCGAATCTACTGAATGCCGTGATATTTCTTTTTGCAATTCTGAATTCTTAATTTCGCGGGCCTTTGCTGCCGCATCGAAGTTCGATCACTGATTTCGATCCAAAAAGTCCTTGGTATGATATCACACCTGATTTGGGGAACGGCATGTTCGGTCCAGGGCAGAAAATTGGGTGTGGTAGAACGAATAGGTGAATGTTAATTAATTTAACCCTCACCCAATTTTCTGCCCTGGACCTAGCCTTCAACATATAGTCTGCGTTGCAGGCTACCCTGGACGTACTACGGTGGCCCACAAGTGCAATACACAAAACTCAATTCCACTACACAAAACTCAATTCCACTACACAAAACTCAATTCCACTACACAAAACCCAATTCCACTACACAAAACTCAATTCCACTACACAAAACCCAATTCCACTACACAAAACTCAATTCCACTACACAAAACTCAATTCCACTACACAATTAAATTTGTGTAGTAATACACAATATTATTAAATACAGTAAAAACTTTAACGACTATAACGTACTATATCAACCTAATATATGCGACATATGCATGCGTTTAGCTGTTTGTTGCACCACCTATTTTCTTACTGAGTTTTAAAGTCTTTTAAACCTTCGCCTAACTATTAAAGGAGCAATAATGAACATCAATTGCGAGAACTGTGCGTCAGAAGTGTCGGAGACCTTTGAATTTTGTCCTAACTGTGGGAAAATGTTGACCGACATGGACGTCATCGCACATTACTTTATGAGAGGTTTTGAGTACTCGACTATCTTGTCATTTTTAAGAAAGTTTCATAACATTGACATATCCTTACGAACATTAAAAAGTAGATTGAAAAATATGGGTTTAAAACGGCGAAATATTGATGCTGATGAGGAAGAGGTGAACGCGGCAATTCGTCAGGATCTAAATGGGCCGGGATGTTTACGAGGATATCGATCTATGTGGCATTGCTTGCGTTTGAATTATGGCATTCAAGCACCGAGAAGTATGGTTCAACGCATTCTTCGAGCACTAGACCCGGATGGATCTGACGAAAGACGATCGCATCGTCTTAGACGTCGTCGATACATCAACCCAGGTCCCAACTTCGCATGGCATGTTGATGGTTACGACAAGCTGAAGCCTTACGGCTTCCCAGTGCATGCCTGTATTGATGGGTTCAGTCGAAGGATTTTATGGCTAAAAGTTTGCAGAACGAATAACGATCCTTCCATGACTGCAGGCTTCTATTTGGAATATGTGCGTTCTGTTGATGGTTGCCCAATGGTACTTAGAACAGATTGTGGTACCGAAAATGGTAGTATGGCTGCCATGCAATGTTACTTCCGTTCTGGAGCGCGTGATCAATTTGCCGGGATAAATGCGCACATGTATGGCTCTTCACATTCCAATCAAAGAATAGAGAATTGGTGGTCCTTTTTGCGTCGCAATAGGTCATCATGGTGGATCAACTTTTTTAAGGATCAGGTAGAAATCGGTAATTTGAACACATCAGATGAATTACAGATGGAATGTCTTTGGTTTTGTTTTTCGGATATACTTCAACGCGATTTTGATCAGGTCAAGTTCCACTGGAATACTCACTATGTGAGGAGATCAAGATTTGACACGGTAGCCGGCCGCCCCGACGAGCTATACCACCTCCCTTACAATTTTGGTGGTAGTGAATTCTTACAGAATGTTTCGACTGAACAAATAAATGACATGCATGAATATTGTGAGCAGCCAGAGAGCACCAACACGTATCAAGAGTATTTTGAATATGCAAGGTCACAGACCCGCTATCCCAAACCCTCAAATTGGAATGAAGCATTAGACCTTTACAGACATTTAGTCACGGTGGCAAACTATGGAGTTGACGTTTGAAATTGATGTATGTGATTAGTTTGCGCTGTTAATATCCATGGCATGAGTGCGAAACGAGAACGACCATATATAATTATTGTAACTGTGGCATGTATGGTATTAAATGGAACTCGCTGTACATTCATTCAGTTGTACATTCATACAGAACTGTAAGTAACGTTTAGAAACAATTTATTCAAAAAGTAAAAAATTCAAAATACATTTCTGCATCAATATATAAAGATAGCAGCTATGTGAAATATCTGATAACATCTTAATACCTTTTTAACAAATAACAAGAAACATAAATAATAACTTTAACAATGTTAGGTATAGCCGGACATGGCCTATCGGACTCCAAAAGGTTTCCTTGTTATTCTCAAATTATAAAATTTAAAAAAATATAATTGGAGATTTTACTGTAAAAGATCAAAACAATTGCACTCAAAACCATATTACCTAAAATTAAGATTTTGAGTAAGTCAAAGAATAAATTTTTCACCTTTTGGTTTCCTTTAGTGTCACATCAGCCTCACTTAATTTAGTATAATATATACTCATTAGTAAATACCAGTAAGTAAACTGACAAACTGTCTTTACTGCTAGGTATTATTTAATGTCATAATCTGAACATGTCAATATCAACTTTTGTATTTATATATTGCAGACACAGTGTCCTATGTGTATCAAATTACGGTTCCCCAAATCCGCGTGTGTTAAGGAAAGCAAATGAAAGATCCTCCTTAAACATATCATATGAGCTATGGGTGATGGGCAAACTGAGAATACAAGCACATGTGTTAGCTTTTGGGAAATTAGACATTTTACCATTTTTTAGGATTATGTAGAAACTCTAAAAACAATTTTATGCCAAATGGTGGTATAACTTTACAGCCACTAGTAAAAAAGAGAATATCATGAAATGTTACTTCTGTTCCCTCCCTCTCTTCAACATGCATCTAGCAAAAAATCATTCCAGTGTGATATGACCAAGGATTCACAGCAATGACGATTAGACCCGACCTCACTAAACTTAGTTTGAAACAATTCTGACATAATTTCAGCATTCAGTTGCTGAGGTGAGTAGCAAAAGGCTGGGTGGAAAGAATCAGGATTTTTCAACATAGACTCATAAACTCCTAACACAGACAGCCCTTTAACAAATTGTTCTTGAGAAAAATGTGACCTGCCAAATAAGAACCATTTAACAGTTTGCTGAACTAGTGTTGATATATCATCCAGGGATGATATGAATTTGAAGGTTCCTGCAAGACATAGGAGTGTGCTTAGAGGAGAACTGTTAATCATTGTGTTTGCCTCATCAGTGCTCTTGGCATTTAATAATTTTTCCAAGTTAGACTTCAATTCAAAGTCATAAACATCACTTACACTAACAGAAACATTATTTGGGCCATCTAAAATGCATTGATAAAGACTTGGTGAGAGACAGGAAAACCCAGGACCACCATATGAACAAGGGACATTGCCACTACTTGTCCAGCATAAAAATAATGATCACTAGCTTGAGAATTAGCATGACAGGAAAGATATTTACAATGATCACTTCCAGAAAAGAGCTGTGAGTTCATTAACCAATCTAAAACCAAGGTGAAAAATTCTCTTTTGGGCCCCCCTGCATCTATAGCCCCTTCAGTGGCACCAACATCATCACAAAATTTAATGGAAACCTTGTTGTTTGGAGAAAACGATTTTCTGGTTAAACCTCTAACAGTACCCTCCCACAAATGGCTACGGCTAATGTTGAATTTTGATATAGATTCTGAATTAATGACACTGGATAGATTTTTAAGTATATCTGGCAGTGGCTGTGTAGACAGCTGGGAAATGGGAGATTTGTTGTTTTGATCTAATTCAACATCAACATCACTCATGCCTTCAAAATCAACAAAGTCAGTTTCATCACATAACAAATAAAGATGCATACAACCAGTCAACATCATCTTGCATCAATGTTGATGTGCTTGGACCTTCATTGGTTCCATGGTATGTTAGATCAGAGGTGCTTTGGACATATGTAACTGCATCTGATGGGTTTTTATCCCTAAAAATGGGGATACCAGATAGTGATTTTACCTACAAATTAAATCAAGGTCCAAAATAGATCTTGAACAAGACAGGGGGTTTCCCCTGCATATTTTTTTCCTAATTGATACTAAAGTGATACTGTAAAAACTGGGTGAAAATCAATTCACAGCTTTCTATGGATGCAGGTTACATGCACAATCATGTGAGAACAACTAAGTACTTGCAGCCTGGTACACAGAAGTTCAAGATTCGATCGTTTGGAAAATACAGTAGCAATATGGACTTACGTGTTGTTTTGACTGGTTTTCACATCCATTGATTGATCATATTCGTTGCCATCACTACTTGAAATAAACATATCTTTCTCTACACTTTCTGTGTTTTCGTCAGCACTTTCTGTGCACAAATATAGAGTTATTCTAGAATAATTCTTTCCAAGATCCTCCTTATAATCGCAAAGACGAAATGGTGATTCAGTCTGCCCTGGTAAATTCAACGCTATCTGCCCATCAGGATAATGAATGTTCCAGTCTAGTTTTTCATTAAAGGCTTGATCGTATGCCTTTCTTTTCACTAATGCCGCTGTCAAAAGTTGGGCGTAATTTGCTTCTTTCTTTATTTTTAAAGGCAATGACTTCCCTCTGATAGGTGTATACTCGTTGGAGGAATCCAGAGAATCACGGTCGTACTTCATAACACCAATATTGATCAGAACGTCTTTATTTTGGGGAGTAGAACTTTTGGTTTTTCCCCGAAAGAATGTAGCACGTTGTTGGCTTTTTTTTGCTTTGAACTGTTCGAATGTATCGCAAGAACGTCGCTGTTTGGAGTCGATTGTTTTACTATCGGTATCGGTAAAGGCATTTCCACAATTTGGACAGAATTTATACTTCGATGAACTGAAATCACGACCACACTTTTTGCACTTTATATTCATAATTCAATAGCGAAAATACGATAATTCCCAGAGTGAACTCGCTGAGACACAAACACGTATGCGTGTTGCGTGTGCGTGTGAATAGCGTTGAGTCGAGTTCTGTGTAGTGGAATCATATATATAAGTGGAATTGAGTTTTGTGTAGTGGAATTGGGTTTTGTGTAGTGGAATTGGGTTTTGTGTAGTGGAATTGGGTTTTGTGTAGTGGAATTGGGTTTTGTGTAGTGGAATTGGGTTTTGTGTAGTGGAATTGGGTTTTGTGTAGTGGAATTGAGTTTTGTGTAGTGGAATTGAGTTTTGTGTAGTGGAATTGAGTTTTGTGTAGGGGAATTGAGTTTTGTGTAGTGGAATTGAGTTTTGTGTAGTGGAATTGGGTTTTGTGTAGTGAAATTGAGTTTTGTGTTGTGGAATTGAGTTTTGTGTAGTGGAATTGGGTTTTGTGTAGTGGAATTGGGTTTTGTGTAGTGGAATTGAGTTTTGTGCAGTGGAATTGGGTTTTGTGTTGTGGAATTGAGTTTTGTGTAGTGGAATTGGGTTTTGTGTAGTGGAATTGGGTTTAGTGTAGTGGAATTGGGTTTTGTGTAGTGGAATTGAGTTTTGTGTAGGGGAATTGAGTTTTGTGTAGTGGAATTGAGTTTTGTGTAGTGGAATTGGGTTTTGTGTAGTGGAATTGGGTTTTGTGTAGTGGAATTGAGTTTTGTGTAGTGGAATTGGGTTTTGTGTAGTGGAATTGAGTTTTGTGTAGTGGAATTGAGTTTTGTGTAGTGGAAATGAGTTTTGTGTAGTGGAATTGGGTTTTGTGTAGTGGAATTGGGTTTTGTGTAGTGGAATTGAGTTTTGTGTAGTGGAATTGAGTTTTGTGTAGTGGAATTGAGTTTTGTGTAGGGAATTGAGTTTTGTGTAGTGGAATTGAGTTTTGTGTAGTGGAATTGGTTTTGTGTAGTGGAATTGGGTTTTGTGTAGTGGAATTGAGTTTTGTGTAGTGGAATTGGGTTTTGTGTAGTGGAATTGAGTTTTGTGTAGGGGAATTGAGTTTTGTGTAGTGGAATTGAGTTTTGTGTAGTGGAATTGGGTTTTGTGTAGTGGAATTGAGTTTTGTGTAGTGGAATTGAGTTTTGTGTAGTGGAAATGAGTTTTGTGTAGTGGAATTGAGTTTTGTGTAGTGGAATTGATTTTTGTGTAGTGGAATTGAGTTTTGTGTATTGCACTTGTGGGCCACCGTACTGGACCGAACATAATAGACACATAATGGAGAGCTTTAGATCTGCATGACTGCGGCTCCCGCTACGGCTACGAGATTCGTCACTGTGGCGCGAAGCGGAACAAACGGTTGTATGGATACACCACCGCGTGCTGGCATGATAAACCTCTGCAAACACAATAATAAATGCATGTTTTTCCTCTCAAATATTTCGAAAATTTGACGCCAACTATTTCGAAAATTACACATAATCAAAAGCCACGGTAATGAAAAACAGTTCTCTCAAATTATTCTCTGGAAAAAAACGAGAATATGTCAACTTTTATTGCTTTTTAAATCACGTAGTGAGGACTACGAAGTTTTCTTAAAATGCCGTAGTCAGATGAACGACGGCTACGAGTCTATGGCGTCAGTCGAAGTATCACGAATATCACGTCAATGCGATGAATCGCGTAGCGGTTGCGGGAGCCGTAGTCAAATGCCAAATCTAAAGCTCACTAATAAAGGCGGTCTACGACTACCTGCTATGTAAAGGTCCCCCGAGGAATCTTATCCCCATTTGCGGGCCCTGGAATAACGAGCTGGGTTGTTTCACTTGCTTGCACGTGACTGCGACATGAACGTTGCTCCTCCGAGAATGCTGCTGTATTTTTTTCGGACATAGTAACATAGACCAATGCTTTTCAAATCCTCGATTTTTTCCATTTGCCAATTCGCAGAATTGACCCTCATGTCTATACCTAAGCATTTCATGTTTCGTGGCAGCCACACCTCTTTATCAGAATCAAAAACTGAGGACTGAGTTTTGCAAAGCACATTGAATTTTCTTCTTGAAAGAAAGTTCTGATATTTCAATGCAATGGCTTTTTTAGTGCATCACTAGATTGGCAATATTCCTGTATACATGATCTTACCACACCTTCAAGGTACTGTCCTCTCTTGTAACTTCCTACCAAGTGGTCCATCATTTCCTTGTTTGCACCAGATGACAACACATCCCAGGCTCCATACAATGCTCCTTCAACACCACCATGGAAGCAGGGATGTCATTAAGAACACTACAGCTCTCTTTCGTCCGCTTGTAACGAACACTTAATGTGTTTGAGGTTATCGTATGAAAGGTTGTCGGGGTGTTCTGTCTGCCAGTATAAGCATGTGCCTTCTGATCCAACAAGGTTTTGCTTTTTTCAAATTGCTCATTCAGATCCTGGCCTCCTGCTTCGACAAAACACGTTTGCAACGACTAAAAGATTAGGAGATTGTTGACCTTGTCAGCTGATAAAAAAATGCTAAACGAAGTCAAAAAGAACGCTTCGTTATTGTTTCACACAAAGTTTAAATTCTAAAGATATGCCGTATCATTATTAGTATGAAAACGTGTGTTTTCATCGTTGAGTAAAAAACTGTACAGACTAGACAAAGTATTGAATACGCAAAACGGACATATACATTTGAAGAGGTATGCATGGATTAGAAGGAGGAATTTTGTTTTGAACTAATCGGCAAATTTGTTTATATTATTTTAGGCAAAACAGTGAAGTGTACTAAAACATCGATTCTTCCAAGTCATCCAAATTTGCCAGTTTTTCTGGGTTTTTTAACGTTTGAGACAGACGTACGCGTAATTTTTATAACAATTGAACGAGTAAAAGAGTCAAAAACGTCGTTTTTAGCTATAATTTTTGGCCACAATCAAGTATTACGCTATTATATTTTAGGAGTTAGCGTTCCCGTCGATATCACAGCTTTAATCTTTGATACTTCATGTATCATTGGTAAATGATTTGCCTATTTTTAAAAATTCTGATTGGTATAAACAAAATTAATTACTCCTTGGTATGAACGTGGTTATTACAAAACGTAAAGTTATAAAGTATAGTATATATTCAATTTCTCTGCTTTGCTATAATTTTATAGTCTTTTGGACGCCGAGTTATTGCAGCTTCAGTTATCTTTGTTGTTGGAGTTTCGGCTTCTGCAGGCAATTCTATCTTGTACCGATGCAGTAACATCGACGAGAAGGCAAACATCATTATCTTCGCCAGAGATTGACCAGGGCAGTCTCTTCTTCCAACGGAAAATGGAAGAAACCCATTGAGTTTGCTCCAGCCAACGAATTTTCCATCGGAATCAAGAAATCTTCCGGGATTAAATTTTTCAGGTTCTGGCCATTCACGTTCGTCGTGGTGTAATTTGGCAAGGTTGAGAGCAACAAATGTCCCCTTGGGAATATGATATCCAGCAATTTGCATGTCTCGGATCGCGTTAGTCCCGACGACCCCTATCATACCTGATGCCCTTTGAACTTCACATAAAGTTGCTTGGAGGAATGGCATATTCTGGGCATCATTCCAACATGGTGTGCGATTCTTGCCAACAACGACATCGAGTTCCTCGTGAATCTTCGCCTGAGTTTCGGGATACAGCACCATGTAAAGCAAAAACCAAGCGAGTGACGAGGAAGCGGTATCTGAACCTGCAAATATAACATCTGCCATTAATCCAGCGACATCATCAACCGACCCAATGCTCTTATTAGTTTCTTTTGCAATTTCTTTTTCGTAGCAATTAATGAAGCTGTCGGTTAGGTCTCGAATTACTCCAGGGATGTAGGTTTTCTTGTGGGATTCGTATTCCACTGAAAATACCGCATTCCTTATCTGTTTTGCCGTATTCAAATCGCGGGTTATTTGAAGAGGCAAATGCAATATAAACGGAACCATTTGGTAGAAACTGGAAAGCAAGACTTGTTTGGTGCATAACGCGTTGAATAAGGAAAGCTTCTTAACGGTTGGATTATTTGATTGAAACTTCTCTGTCGTGAGCCAATCCCAAATCTGGATGATTATGGAAGACTCTAATATCTTTCTGGGTGAGAAGGGTTTTCCTTTATGGATGTCGATTTCTTTGATGGAGGTTTGGACAGCGTGTCCGGCGCGTTCTGATACTTCCCCTATACCAGCTCCAAAGACATGCATCGCTGCTTTAAAAACTCTTCTACGAAATCGCATTTCAGGGGAATAATCCGCCGTCATTAAATCCTTTCCAAAAATTTCTGGCCAAGGATATATTGAACCAGGCGATTTTCCTGAGAGGTTTTCTTGTTTGCCGAGTCTAGCTTCTCGAGCAAGTTTGGCGGAATTCAAGACAACAACTGTCTCCCCAGTTGGAAATGTCAGTGAGAATATATCACCGTATTCATCAGCCAGTTTGCTGTAGGGGTTAATTGGATCACAGAACAAATGAGGAATATTGCCAATGAGGGGATAGGGGAAAGGTCCTGGTGGCTTGTTTCTTCTCATCACAATTGTGGTAATAATGTAATATGTTAAATAAGCAAGAGCAAAGGAAACGAAGATTTCTGCAACCATGATTTCTGCAAATGAAATAAGTATCAGTTTAGCTGAGAAGTTGAAACAAGAAATTTTATATTCCGTTACACACAAGGCAGGCCTCATGAGGAGTTTCAAGTGTATAAATACTTTCTCTTTCATGTGTTTGCGAAACTTTGCCATGAAATTATGTCTACATTGTAAAATTAATTCGAGAGAAGCTTTTTTTTATTCTTATATCATTTTATACTGGGCCTTAATCGTTCATATAGCTTTATCAGGTGGGGAGTTAAATATAGGGCCAGGGATTCTCTAGTTTTATAACTAAAAGTGCCAATACAGTAGCACAATTAACACTATTTGAACGGATATGCAAATTTGTTACGGCATTCTGGATATATGATGTCTGCGATTTCTGCCAAGCTGACATGAACGAATTTATGGGACTTAATTTACATCTGCTCCCTGATATTTTGTGGAATTTAAAAGCAGCAAACATTTTAAATCGAATGTAGCAGTGTTTGTATTATGCAGCTGACTAATGACTATATAAGTTATATGGAAATTGTTCACAATATGACAATTGGGGAAAAGATTACCATTGAGTTCGGTTACACCATCATTTGACAGGTGTGTGCCAATGAATGAAGTTAATTAATTCTTTCAATATGGAAAAGTTTGTTTGCCAAAATGTTTCAGACCTGAGCTCTCCCATGCTCTGCAATCAAAAGATTCAAAGCTATTTGTTGGAAGGCTGAGAAAATCTGTGGTGTCAACTGTCAAGATTATTTGAACACTTTTCTGTGTATACCTTGTAAGTAATCAAGAGCATGCATTGTGGTAACATAATGTTTCCAACGTATATTGAATGTTGTGGGAGGTTTTATAATTTTACAATACATTATTTAGGCACCCGACAGGGGACCAAATTACACAAATATGCCAACAAATTGTAAAAGATTATCCATTTCTGCAAGATAAAGGCATTGGATCTCGCCATGTAAGCTCAAATTATTTCTTATCAAATAGTAAAACAATTGTTAAAAAATCATTCACATTTAAATTACCTTAATATATGTTCAGGATTCTTGGTATTCTCAAATTTATATATAATTATAATATTATATTATAATATATATATATATTTATAATATATATATATATATATATATATATATATATATATATATACACCCATTTGCAAAAACGTTGGCCGCAGATAGATAGATAGATAGATAATCGAAGTCTAATTAGAATTGCATATGATTAATTACATTTGCATGGGATTTCTATAATATTACACAACATATGCAATTCTAATTAGATTTCGAGTATCTATCTATCTATCTATCTGCAGCCAACGTTTTTGCAAATGGGTGTGTATATATATATATATATATATATATATATATATATATATATATATATATATATATATATATTTATTATTTAACAATTAGTCGCCGAAGGCGAGGTGATTACAAGCCTATATTCACTGAGCCGAAGGCGAAGTGAATATAAGCTTGTAATCACCGAGCCTGAGGCGACTAATTGTTTTAGTATAATTTCAGTATTGAAAAAGTTTTATTTATAAATACAACTGATTTTAATATGTTCTCAATTTCTGCTTCCGAAATTTTTCCAAAACGATTTTGAGTATTTTCAGCCATGTTTTTATGGGGAAAAGCAATAGTTACTGCTCAGACTGCTCTGAGCAGTAACTATTGCCTCATAGTTACTGCTGAGGGAGCCAATCAGAATGCTCAAAGGTCATTTTTCAATACTGAAATTATACTAAATATGTATAGAGATTTATGCACAGCAGAATGATGAAATAAAAATTGCATTTCACTGTGTAAATTAATTTCATGCAATTTGATTGCACGTACGATGTTTTTCACGTGTGAAAAGATACCATACACGGCTTTTGATTGGACGTACGATATTCCTCACATGCATGTGAAAAATTGTCGTATGTCATTTTGACGGCAATTTGTTTACATTTTCTTTCAAGATGGCGTCGAAATATAGGAGTGAAATTCAAAACATAATTCTCATATTCAAAATATTTTACATTCAGCACATTCTCAAATCTTTTAAATTCTCAAATTGGTCAAATCTACTGTTCAAGGAAGCACTCGCCATCCGTCGACAAAAACCGGAGCTTAATCATGGAACAAAGGCATCCAAAGAACTATTGGTTTTCTTTTGAACAATATCAAATTACATATAGTATATATACAACGCATGCACATGTAAATTAATTATTCCTGATGATGACTAAATAAAGTCTTATCCTAACTTCTATTGAACAAAATTACAAAGAAACTGAACGGTATAATAAATATGTTTTGATGCATAAAGTTTCGATTTTGTTGCTCGCTGTGTTTTTGTATATTAAAAGCGTGTCGTTGTTAAATTGATCTCTATACACATTTAATAAACAAATTACTTCATGGTTGGCGAGTGCGTACGATTTTTATTATGCACTCGTTGCGAAGGATCGCAAACTCACTCGTTCGCTGCGCTCACTCGTTCGTATTGCGATCCTTCACAACTCGTGCATAAAAATCGTACGCACTCGCCAACCATGAAGTAATCTCTCTATATATATTGATATCAAATCCTATTGTTCAGTCATGCCGTAACTTGAGAGAGGTACGCGTATAGATGAAAATGATTGCCTGCATGTTTATATATAGCAGGTATAATTTGGTTATTAAATCAAAACCGGATATGTATATATTTATTACACTGATTACAGTTTTGTATTTTATGAGAAAACAGTGCAGCCAGAAGCAGCCAGCAACGAGATAAAATATATGTAGTTTATCCGCAAGCACTCAACTGCGTATAGGTAGATTTTTTATATGCATACATTATATATAGACTCTGGATCAATTGTCGATAAAGGCATATTCACTAAATAGTTAAGTTGAATTACTTACATTGGTGTTTTGAAATCAGGTTTGCTTGAATGAATAAGACCAAGTGCAAGTTCAATACGAAATGTTTTAAAAGGTTATTTACACGGCAGCAATCGAAATTTGATCAGTTACTCGAGGACTTCAATAATTGAATTAAGTGCACGTAGTTATTGACGTCGCAAGGAGATACCGTAGCTAAATGTAAAAGCATAATAAATGTTGTTTTATATGCACTTACGCGTTTTCCTACATAACCTAAAAAATCAGTAATTGTACCAAAAGGGGATGTTTATATCGTATTCGGGCTTGTTTTGTCCAATGTAAACCAAAATTTCCCCGGGAATAGGGTATTTTAAAATTGAATTTTAAGTATGTTGCACTCAGTTTTTCATGCATACGCTATAAAAGAAAGGTTCATTACGAAAGCTTGATCAGTAAAATGGGCTATAGGCAATAAAACGTGAAACGCGAAAGCAAAATAGAAAATGTTGCACGAATTTTAGTTAATAGTTTGGCTGTAATAGATCTCATGCTGTGCAAAGACTGTTGTGATCACGTGACCCACAGTCAATGTGGGAGAAATTTGCCTAGCAACCGTGTGCGTAAATCAGACACACAGAAAACATAAACGAATCAAGCTTGATACGAATACTAAATATTATTTTTATTATATTAATAAAAATAATATTTACTATTGTCGATCCTGCTTCGACAAAACACGTTTCGAGCAACTACAAGATTACGAGATTGTTGACCTTGTCAGCTGATTATAAACTTGCTAAACGAAGTCAAAATAAACACTTCGTGATTGTTTCACACAAAGTTCAAGTCCTAAAGATATACCGTTTTATTATTATGAAAACGTGTGTTTGCCTCGTCGAGTAGAAAAACTGTACAAAGTATTGAATACGCTAAACACACATAATTGTATGTTTGAAGGGGCATGCATGGATTAGAAGGAGGAAATTTGTTTTGAACTAATCGGCAAATTTGTTTATTTTTTTAAGCAAAGCCAGTGAAGTGCACTAAAACCTGAAATCTTTGAAGTCATGCAAATTTGCAGCCAGTTTTTTTTAGTTTTTTTAACGCTTGAAAAAGACGTACTGTATAGAGGATAATTATTGAGGCATGACTAGAACTATGTAAAATACAATCATCTACTAATTTTTATAAGAATTGAAAGAGTAACAAAGTCAACATTTTTTTTTTGCTTCAATTTTTAGCTGCAATCAAATACTAAGCTATTATATATAATTATAGGGGTTAGCGTTCCCGTTGATACCACAGTTTTAATCTTTCTTATACTTCATGTATCATTGGTAAATGATTTGCCTATTTATAAAAATTCTGAATGGTATAAACGAAATTACTCCTTGGTATGCACGTGGTTATTACAAAACGTAAAGTTATAAAGTACGGTATATATACTATATTTAATTTCTCTGCTTTGCTATAATTTTATAGTCTTTTGGACGCCGAATTATTGCAGCTTCAGTTATCTCTGTTGTTGGTGTTTCGGCTTCTGCAGGCAATTCTATTTTGTACCGATGCAGCAACATCGACGAGAAGGTAAACATCATTATCTTCGCCAGAGATTGACCAGGGCAGTCTCTTCTTCCAACGGAAAATGGAAGAAACCCATTGAGTTTGCTCCAGCCAACGAATTTTCCATCGGAATCAAGAAATCTTCCGGGATTAAATTTCTCAGGTTCTGGCCATTCACGTTCGTCGTGATGTAATTTGGCAAGGTTGAGAGCAACAAATGTTCCCTTGGGAATATGATATCCAGCAATTTGCATGTCTCGGATCGCGTTAGTCCCGACGACCCCTATCATACCTGATGCCCTTTGAACTTCACATAAAGTTGCTTGGAGGAATGGCATATTCCGGGCATCATTCCAACATGGTGTGCGTTTCTTGCCAACAACAACATCGAGTTCCTCGTGAATCTTCGCCTGAATTTCTGGATACAGCACCATGTAAAGTAAAAACCAAGCGAGTGACGAGGAAGCGGTATCTGAACCTGCAAATATAACATCTGCCATTAATCCAGCGACATCATCAACCGACCCAATGCTGTTTTTAGTTTCTTTTGCAATTTCTTTTTCGTAGCAATTAATGAAGCTGTCGGTTAGGTCTCGAATTACTCCAGGGGTGTAGGTTTTCTTGTGGGATTCGTATTCCACTGAAAATACCGCATTCCTTATCTGTTTTGCCGTATTCAAATCGCGGGTTATTTGAAGAGGCAAATGCGATATAAACGGAATCATTTGATAGAAACTGGAATGCAGGACTTGTTTGGTGCATAACGCGTTGAATAAGGAAAGCTTCTTAACCGTTGGATTATTTGATTGAAACTTCTCTGTCGTGAGCCAATCCCAAATCTGGATGATTATGGAAGACTCTAATATCTTTCTGGGTGAGAAGGGTTTTCCTTCATGGCTGTCGATTTCTTTGATCGAAATATCGACAGCGTGTCCAGCACGTTCTGATACTTCCTCTATACCAGCTCCAAAGACATGCATCGCTGCTTTAAAAACTCTTCTACGAAATCGCATTTCAGGGGAATAATCCGCCGTCATTATATCGTTTCCAAAAATTTCTGGGAAAGGATATAGTGAACCAGGCGATCTTCCTGAAAGGTTTTCTTGTTTGCCGAGTCTGGCTTCTCGAGCAAGTTTGGCGGAATTCAAGACAACAATTGTCTCCCCAGTTGGAAATGTCAGTGAGAATATATCACCGTATTCATCAGCCAGTTTGCTGTAGGGGTTAATTGGATCACAGGACAAATGAGGAATATTGCCAATGAGAGGATAGGGGAAAGGTCCTGGTGGCATGTTTCTTCTGATCACAATTGTGGTAATAATGTAATATGCCAAATAAGCAAGAGCAAAGGAAACGAAGATTTCTGCAACCATTGTTGTCAATGTTCTGCAAATAAAGTAAGTATCAGTTTAGCTGAGAAGTTCAAGCAAGAAATTTTATATACAGCTACACACAAGGCAGGCCTGATGAGGAGTTTCAAGTGTATAAATACTTTCTCTTTCAAGTGTTGGCAAAACTTTGCCATGAAATGATGTCTACATGGTAAAATTAATTCAAGAAAAGCTATTTTCTTTTTATTCATTAATTATATCATTTTATACAGGGCCTTAATCGTTCATATAGCTTTATCAGGTGGGGAGGTAGATTTAAGGTTAGGGATTCTCTAGTTTTATAACTAATAGTGCCAACACAATAGCTTAATTAACAGTATTTGAACGGATATGCAAATTCGTTACGGCATTCGATCTGCATATATGATGTCTGCAATTTCTGCAAGTTGACATAAACGAATTTATGAGACTTAATTTACATCTGTTCCCTGATATTTTGTGGATTTTAAAAGTAGCAAAAATTCAAATCGAATGTGGCATTGTTTGTGTTTTGCAGCTTGGGATGGCTCGTTTCAAGATTGACCATTTCACATATATGAAACGAGCCATCCCAAGATCTCCTGGAGCTCCACGATGTGGTTTATGCCTCGCGGAAAAACTGTGCATAATACGTGCAGATGAAAACAAATGTTTAAACAAGCGCTCTGAGCTGTTTTCAAAATGCTGCCATAGGAACAAGTTTAATGCCGGAAATTTTAGGCGCGCGCACAAGGATAAGCGCGTGACAGACGAGTAACCGTTGATGCATGACGTAATCAAATATTGTATTGAATTTTTCTTTAGTCGCCTGATGATCGCTTTGCTTTTTTTAGCTTAGCGTGAAACACCGTGTAGCGACGGCTTTATTTTGAGATTAAAGAATTAGTAGATATTATTTATGCTCTGCTTTTTTTTGGTATTGAGCACTCTTCTTGTCTATTACAAACAAACTAAATTTTGAATATAAATATATATATATATATATATATATATATATATATATATATATATATATATATATATATATATATATATATAAAAGGGAATTGCATGGATTCGACAAGATTTTATCATACATAAGATTATTGATATCAAATCCTATTGTTCAGTCATGCCGTAACTTGCGAGAGGTACGTATAGATGAAAAGGATTGCCTGCATGTTTAATGTTTAGAGCAGGGATAATTTCGTTAATCAAAACCGTATATGTATATATTTGTTACACTGTTTATAGTTTTGTATTTTATGAGAAAGCAGTGCAACCAGAAGCAGATAAATATATAGATAAATATATGTAATTGATCCGCTAGCACTCAACTGCGTCAGTATGGACTTTTTATATATGCATACCTTATATAGACTCTGAATCAATTGTTGATAAAGGCATATTCACTAAAATAGTTGAATTACTTACATTGGTGTTTTGAACTCAGGTTTGCTTGAACGAATAAGACCAAGTGCAAGTTCAATACGAAATGTTTTAAAACGTCTCTGGCTAAAGGTTTTACACGGCAGCAATCGAAATTTGATATTACTCGAGGACTTCAATAATTGAGTGCACGTAGTTATTGACGTCGCAAGGAGATTATGATATAAATGATAAATGTTGTTTTATATGCACTTACGCGTTTTCCTACATAACCTATAAAATCACTAATTGTACCAAAAGGGGATGTTTATATCGTATTCGGGCTTGTTTTGTCAGCAAGACAGCTACCAAATAGTATTTATTTATAATCATGCGCTGCATTTATTTATCTCAATTCCCGGAATAAATTTTAGTAGCTTCATGCAATAGTCATTAGTATTAAAACAGATATTACTGACAGTCCTCATAGGGGATGGCAATGACAAACGAGACAAAGAACTTTTGAAAAGAATGCATAATTTATTCTTTTAACACAGATCCCTCCCTCGTGGTTGTCAGTTTGAAGAAAATTTCCATCAATAGACCCTTTCAGCTTGCATGCAAATTCACCCATTTCGGATGTTCTGACCATGGAATACCATGTAATTTCAGACCATGTGACTTGAAATGGTTTAATTTGCATACAAGCTGAAAAGGTCTATTCTGGCAACCCTGATTAAATTACTGCATGCATGCATGGGTACGCGCGGGTGCAGTCTGGATTACGTAACAGGTACCGCAGGAAAAGGAAAACATATTTTTAACAAAAGGCCTGGGTAACCAATACTCTCAAATTGATTTTTCTTTTTTGCGTTTTACCAAGGGTTGTTTTCGTATCGCAAGACTGAACTGAAACTCTTTTATAGCCACATTGGCGATAAAATGAAGTTTGGAGACTTGCTCATGACGACTGGTGCGCAAAGAAATTGGAGGAGAATAATAATAATATAATATAATCGAAGTCTCCATGTGGCAGGCATGTGCCCAGGCGAAAATCCAAAATATTTTTATGAAGATTCACTGGTCTGAAGGTTATTACATAGATTCATAGGGTTGTCTTTACAAAATTAAACCTTTTATTTAAACATAAATTTGGGGGGGGGATGAGTATAATATACTCGTCTTATGCGCAACTGATTTCTTTTGTACGCTTTTGTTTCAATATAAAATAATTAATATATGTATATATATATTATTATTATATGAATAACTAATATATATATATATATTATATATTATTATATTATTTATATATTATATATATTATATGGGCGCTAAAAGCTAGGCTAAGTTCTGCCATTGACCAAGTGAAAATAAACGCTTTTCTTATAGTGGAAACACTTTAAATGTCAAACAATTCGATGAATAAATTTTTTAAGTGGAAGTACAAGAATAACATCAAGCCATGGTCTTGGCCACCCGAAGATATTTGGCAAATGCCGAGGGATAAATCAAATTAAAAGCTTTTATGTAATTCGTGTTTCCTCAAGAATGAGTCAGTAGGCAATTAAGGTAAAAGTTTGTTTCATCCTTTATTGAAGCACTGAATCACTGATCCAGATTTTTTTGCTTGAGTGAGGTACAGCAACCAGTGCCAACCACATTTGCCTGTTGGCAGTGTCGCCATGACGAACCCGCCGCGGAATTTATGTGAAGTAGTATAAACTTGATGAAAAATATGTCGAAGCCTTTGAAAGTAATCGCGGCATGGTGGCAAACTGTATCAACATTTCTTTTAAGTAGCATGTATATATTGAATATTCCAGCTTTAAGTATAAACCTATAATTGCTCACAACAGCTGCGACAACTGAAGCATTTTGTGAGTAGCATTTGTGGCCTTTCTCCTCAAAAATCAGAATTATTCGCTCGGTGAAGGGCCGAATTCGGTGAAAAGGAAATTGCACGCGTTCATAATATAAAATTGAGAATTTGTGCATGGAAGCTAGTGTTTCAAATGGCATAATAATTATGTAAAAGCGAATCTTGTAATGTTTATCCTCTTGCGCGTTATTCCAAGCATGTACATATAAATAGCATGACGCGTGGAAAAAACAAAGAATGCAGTAGCGTTTGATTAGGGAATACAGTTCATCAGTTCACCAAGATAATGCAGGCTTCATGAAGAAACAAATAATTACTGAGTAAGAGTGCTCCCGTTCTAGCGACCATCACGGGAAGAGTGCTAATAACTATTTGGTTAACAATTGCAACCGCATAATCATAACTTCTGTTAAAAATAAACGTAATTGAGATTTAGCGCAAAGATTGAGAAAGCTCGCCACAATAATTTAACGTTAAATTCACACGTTAAATGACCCGCCTTGAAATGATGAAATTTTTCAGGGCCTCAATCTTATTCATTTCCAATTTTCTGTAATACAAATCTCCAAATCAACACTGGGATACTAGAAACCAAGTGCCCAATAACCTTGGCTACAGTCAGAATTTTTTCCCTTAGTTTTGCCCTTAATTTGAGTTATTGTAGCATATAAGACTGGCAGTAATATAGCCACTAGAATCGAATCAATTTGAAACCCAGGTAAAACTATTTGTTGTCTTGATCAATATAATAATAGACTTATCTGGGTGGATGACTAGGCCAAGGCGTTCAAATGTTTGGATGGAATCAATACCATTAATTGTATGTTCATCTGGCCCTGTAGCAGAGGTCCTCAATATATCCAGTTGTGATGTGACCCTTGAGCCTCAGATGAGATAAGGAAGAATTCACCAGTTTTGTGAAATTTATAGGGCATATGCATAATTAACCCATTTGGGTAAACAGAGTAATTGTACAGAATGTAACTTTCTAAACAAATGTGAGAAATTTCTGGACTTAGGATGTATTTGTAGGTCTCTATCTTTCAGGTCCTGGCTTGCCATCCAGCAATTTTGTGTGACAAGTACAGTAATATGGACTGATTGTGCCTTCCAATCATTCTTGGGTACAGTGAATATTCGGGATGTAAATAATACTATACTAATAACACTTTTTTTCTACAAGACATGCTATCTCTTTCTCTCTGCAAGGTCAATCAGATTCATACAGATGGAGTTGGGTGTGAAGGCAGGCACGGGCACAACATCTATGGATTCTTCCGATACAGGGTTAGGAATTTGAGGATCTGAAGTTAAACTTTGCCATCCCTGCTGGTAGAAGGTTGGCTAACCGACCTCTTCTACAGTAAAACCTTTTCATTAAGATATGGCATAAAATTATACACAACATAAACAGGAAACAATGAAAGATTCACCTGATTTTTTAAATCTTCTAGTTTTGGTGAACTTTTTCTTGGTAATAATTGAGTTAACTGAAGCTACTCAGAGAGGGTAGAAACACCCCTGTTGTTCCGCAGACCCAGAAGACCTGTTTCGTGGGGTTCTGCTGTTTCTTCCTGAAGGTGCTATTTTGTTTTTAGTATTTAGCGTTGTGCTAAGCTCTATAATTCTGGTTGTCTTCAATGCTTGCTAACCTTTCAGGCAAGTCCTTGCTAGATAACAATTTTCCCGGTTTGCAGATTCTGGCACATGATGGCCAATATTCAGCTGTGTTCATAAAGGTTTCATTTTCCCTCTTCATTTACGAACAATTCAGTAGTGACATAAGTGCAACAGCGTCAGTTATAAGGTCTTTATAGTGACGGATTGTTTTCTTTTCTCTATGCGCAAGTCTCCTATTAATTTTGTTCTGCTAATAATTTAACTAGTTGTTTTGACTAGATTGTTGAGTTTGCACCAGATTTCTTCTTTACCTTTAGGTGAGAACATCTGCTCATAGTAAGAGGGTTTCTTAAATTTTTCCAAGAGTCGTTTTCGTTCTGGGAAAAATTGCTATTTCAGCGAGTTAACAGTTACCGATGGACCAGTCTCGTGTGAGCTTCTCAGGGCTGTCCTTAACTCGTCAAGTAAACAGTAATTACATTGTCTGCTACATCACCTTAAAAGAAAATAATTAAGCTTATCCTCTGTGACATTTTCTGCGTCTTTTTGACGCTTGTACGTCTTACACTTTCAATGAAGTTCCTTCCGCTTCAAAGTAAATTGAGCTGGCTTGCTGTAAAGCCAGTTGACTTGCCTGTCAGAGCCAGTTAGACCGTGTAAAGCCAGTTAGACCGTGGCTTCACTAAATAAGGCGACTCGATCTCTTTTGAAGCGTTGCCTCATTCAGTAACTCGTTAATGCACCATCCCTCAAGCTCGCCGTTTTCTTCGATAGCCGATGATTTTTCGCCATATCGTTGCTGAAAATTCCGTATTCAACCATGTCCAGAAAGAAACTAGAAAAGGCGGAAAAATACCAATAGTGAAAACTCGGTCAAAGTCCACAGGAAAACAATAAAACTTGTGGGAAACAAAAGTCCTGGAAATGCTGAAAGTTAGATTTTAGGACAAGAGCACACTCGTCACAACCATCTTAATGCAAAAGCACGCCGACACAACTGGATGATGCATTACGCTCAATCTCGTTTCCCGAGCCCGCGATTTTCTCTGGCTCTTTGAGACCGTTTGCATTTTGAAATAAAATAAATACCACTTATTAACCGAATTTGAGGTCCGTACTAGAAAAATATCAGACCAAGGTCTTGACAGTACGGACCGAGCGATAGCGAGGTCCGTACATATAAGACCGAGGTCTGATATTTTTGCAGTACAGACCGAACGTATTCGGTTAATAAGGGATGTATTATACGGCATACAGTATTTAGTTTATTTATTTATACAATGCGCTGCAGCATTCTTGCCGGCTCTTTCGCCAGCCAGTCGCCAAGCAAGCACTGAAGTGGCTTTCAAAACCTTGTTTTTTACTCGTTAAAGTGCCCCTGACACAAAATGCGATTTTTACACTGTGTAAAGGACTCGTGTGTCCGAGTATTTCGCTGAAAGAATTTTTCGATTTCATCAAAACGTCGCAATTTTAGAGCCGTTTGAAAGCCTCAAATTTGGGGTTTCCAGTGGTACATGTCCGTGTTATAAGGAAACTGGAACGAGGGTAATTTTTGACGTCATACAAGTGAGTCGGCTTTTGAGTGCTTTTGAGATATAACTTGGATATACCGTAATTATTCGAATAAACGCCGCGGCGTTTATTAAATTTTTAGCAAATAACATGCGGCGTTTATTCGAGGGCGGCGTTTATTCAAGGGAGGCGTTTATTGCAAACTCGTAACAACTCTGAATTTATTGTGTAATTCAAACGCCAATTCAACCAATACAATTAGTCCCCAAAAAAACTAAGTATAAAAGTTATGTGTCTTTTCTATTTATATCATTATATATGAAAATTGAACCGTGGTTATAAATAAATACTTCGAATAAACGCCGCAATGACGAAAAGGTTGCGGCGTTTATTTGAGGGCGGCGTTTAATGATATTTTTGCTTGTACCTGCGGCGTTAATTCGAGGGCGGCGTTTATTCGAGGGAGGCGTTTATTCGAGTAATTACGGTAACTATGTTCAGCTATATTCTGTATAAGCATACTAACTTATGTCTATCGTTGAGAGTTTTATGCACATGACGCAGAAACCTGTCTCATTACGTGAACGCACATTTTAAAAGTTTTTTTGTAGCTATAAACATAATAACATACCCGATATTAAATATAGTTTCAGTGAGGATTTGATATATGCCCGTACGTAAATAACAAAGAGCTATGGTGTAAAGTTACGTATTTTAAATTCGCGTCTTGGTCGCATATAAGTGACTCCGTACATTTATCTATCTGTAAAAGTATAAACAGACATTTCGCTTCGTGAGGAGATCGATCGGTTTCGCATTTTACACGTATAAAGACAAAAGACAACACACTGCATGATCACGGTCAAAATCAGTGTATTACAAAATCGGCATGTCGCGACTATAGGTCGAAACTGTGATGACTATTCGCTATATATAACCCGTCTGGCATTTCATACATTACACGCAGTTTGTTATGAGATCTTTCTGTGCCTTTTGCTTTTGGTAGGCTTCTGTCTATTCATTGTCATCTAGAGGCTTTTCACCACATGCTAAAGCGGGTACAATTCTGAGTCGTCATCGCGACTCATCATAGCATGCGCGCTTCAAATCGCGCTTCAAATACCCTTATTCTTCAGCATCTTCTCTTCCGACGATGCAACGTATAATATTTAACCTTAATCCTGATACCTAGTATAAAAATTGAATCCTGCGGTCGACGAGATTTGAAATAATGTGTATTAAAAACAGCATAGAACCCTAGGAAATACACTGTGAGTTTGCAGCGACTCACTTGCGTGACGTCACGAAAATCGCTAGTCCCAGTCTTCTGTTACGACGGCCATGGGTTCAAAAATATATCGATTCAAGAGGCTCTAAAATTTGTTCCTTTTTTTAAAATCGAAAAATTCTTTCACCATAACACTCGGACAAATGCGTACTTTCCATGGTGCAAAAATCGCATTTTGTGTCAGGGGCACTTTAAATAAGAATGATACAGTAATATAAACAAAAATGAATAAATATAATATTCACATGTACCAAATAATGGTCTTCTTCCTCCATTCTTCGTCGATTTTTTTCGTGACAAAAATAAAAGTGTAAGCTTGCTTTTGTTTAAAAAAATGAGAGTTGGACCGTTACTACGGGAACGGCCTGATACTGGGGGATACTAATGTCTAATCTCTAGATTTCTATGGCAACTTATTTATGCTACTATACAGGGTTAGTAAAAAAAACTGACACCTTTGAAATTCAAATTAGTCGCATAGCGGCTGTAATGTGACAGAAGTTGCTTAAAATATTTCATTGGTATACGAAGCATACCATATTAATTAACCTAAAGCATAAATTTTGTTCCCATTGGGAGTTAAAATGGATTCTAAGCTCTGTAAATACAAAAGAATAGTTTTATCAAATCGTTTTTGTTGATTGTACATGGGAATTGTCATATTCCAGCCATAAGTTTGCAGCTAATTTGAATTTCAAAGGTGTCAGTTTTTTTTTACTCACCCTGTATATGTTTATTACTTGACGTTAAATGCCTGTAGACGATAATGAATGGTTATGCATATTCAAATTTTAGTATTGAATATGTGTGTTTCATGCAATTCCCTGTCAAATCCGCCTACATTCATGTTTTTACGTTCAGTTGGTCACTGGTTCACACAAATGATATCTCGTTTTGTCGTTATGAGTAATAAACGGTTTATATTTTTAGGGTGAAATAATCAAAATACTTTACTATAACGCTGGTTATAATTGGGAATTCAAATTCCTAGAGTAAGCTAAGTATCATGCCGTATTTTTTCCATGTTCCTCACATAAGCACGATGACAAATTTTTGAAAAATAACGACGGTGTTGCCGATTGCTATGACTACTGAGCTCTTCTCACTCCTTAAAAACAAACCACACATATACTTTCCAGCATATCATATTGCGTTTTCACTTATGTTTTTTGGTTATCCAAAAAATTATCAATATCATTCTATAAAACATAGGAATAACCGTTGGAATCCGAATCGTTAAATCAAATGGGACATATTTATAATTATTATAAACTATTTTCGTTCACCACAGGCGAAGGGTTTTTGCATGTATATATATTTCGATAACTATATATTCGCGTTTATCAGTTATCGTGTTCTATATTCGGTAGTGTCACCAGCCGTCCGCTAAAATGGAGTATTTATAACTTCTTCCGCTAAAATGGAGAATTTATAACGGCTTCCGCTAAAATGGAGTATTTATAACTGTGCGAACAAGCATGATTTTGGAGAGGTGATTTGAGTACATAAGTTACGTTTAAAAATACAGTGAATCGGCAAACTGAATTCCTTCTCCAAATGATCAATAAATGGAAAAGAGCGGAATATGGAAGCGAAATTTCCATTTTGTGTGCTTTTTTACAGGAACTATAAGTACCCGATAAGATTTGAACAGTTTTTAACTTTTTATGGAGGAAAATCTCATTTTGATTTATTTTCAATCATGGGCGAGGGACGTTCTTGTTGAGAATAATTTAAGAACTTGTACTTAAAATTGCTTTATATCATGCAGTCATGTTCATTACAATTTGTGTTTTCAATGATTTAATTTTTTCTTACCGTAGGTCTTTTTCATGGCTACCACAGCGGCTCCACCTACCGTTATAACTGATGAACAACGAAGATGGGTTGTGACTGGAATATGTCTCAACAAACTTCTAACTCCAGTATTAAGAAATTTGCTTGGAAGAGAAATTCCTGTTTGGTATAAAAGTCTCTGCCTGCCACCAAGCTCAATAAATACACAGACTTTCGCAAAACACGAAAAAAAACTACATCCCTCCAATATAACATTAAATTACGGCAATATTAATAAGAATTTTGTCAACCACAAATCAAAGCATAGTTCCTATGATTATGCCGTCAAAGATGCGATATCTCTCGCTAAGTTATTTTTACAACCATTCATGGCAAAGTTCACTGGTTTTGACACAACCATGGATCTGTCAGCTGCGTTAACTCTTATATGTGAATCTCACCCATTTTACTCTTCCGGTGCAGCTGCTCAGGCAAAGATAGTTCGTTCAGTTGTGAGAAATGAATGGGCGCATTGTAATTTTTCTCACTGGACGGATGTAAATTTCTTCGCGTGTATACAGGAGATCGAATTACTTGTGAGGAAACTGAACATGGCACCTGCTGATGAAAAAGACTTTTTGGATGAATTGAATAACTGGAAAAACAACGGTAATTTGGATTATTTCTTTACGTGTAAGAATTAGGGTTGCCACAATCGTTGTTTTCTTTGTTTTAAACAAGGAAATCAAAGGGCCATTATTTTCAAAATATTGAACTACAAGTGGTGAAATGGAAATCTTTTTAACATTTACACTAAAACATACAAAATGTATTACATAAAGTTTTCGCTTGGTAAATGCTGGGCGTACGTGCTCGCAACGTTGACGAGGGCGGGTGAAACAGCGTGTCTTACTTAAACAGTTTGCGAACAAAAATGCCACATGAATAGACCTTTGCGGTAATTACGTCACAAGATTATCGTTTTAAATTTAAAACCACCTTAAATGAGATGGATTTCACGTTTTACTCTCACAAGCTATGTGCAAAGATGCAAAACATCCTTCTATAACCCATACATGAATGAGAATTTTTCATCGCGGTCTTGGCCCCTAAACCTCTTTTTCGTGTTATGGCTTATTTCCACATTTATTGGTCAAAATAATCTTTTTCATGCATGTGGTGAAGAAGGATATTTTGCATCTTTGCACATGGCCCGTAAGAGTAAAACTTGAAATCCATTAAGGTGGTTCAAAATTTAAAACGTTTTGATGTTAAAATGTTGTGATCGAAAAGGTCTATTGCAGTTTAACATACAATTGACAGGCTTAAAATAGGGACACGGGACTCGTTTTCCAAAATCAAGTGTTGTTTTACATCTCTGAATTGTCAACGAATGCATGGTGATCGTTTTTAGGTGTGCACCTTTGCTGTGGCCAGGCGGTTGACGCAGATCTGTTAAAACTAATCAGAAATGAGTTTTCTCAACTTTTGCATTCTGTGGAGTTATGGCGAGAGGAAAATCAAAATATCGAGGTATGTAAACGAACAGATAAAAAAAAAGGGAAATGAGTGCAAGGTGAAAGAGAAAGGAAGGAGTAGACAGGGAAATGGTCAATAGGATATGAATGGGAGAAAGTAGAAGAGTACGAGTGTATGAGAGTCGTTCTCATTGTTTTTATTCTTCAGGTACAATTAAGAAAAGAGTTAAATAACCTCGGACACCGGTTAGAATCTCTTGAACGCCATATAGATGAACGCCTAGATTCGCGTGATGAAAAATCGCCTTATCTTTTTATGTTGCCGGACAGAGCAGAGTGGTTTTCTGGTCGAGAATCTGAACTAAACAACCTGCACAGCCTTTTCAACGTCGGTGATGAAGTCGATGAACCTAAAGTTAAAATTGTATCTATCTGCGGGTTAGGAGGAACCGGTAAAACAAGTCTTGCTGCTGAATATGCCCATCGAAGGAAAGATCGTTATACTGGGGGAGTATTTTGGTTCTCTGGCGAAAGTGAAGCTGCTTTTGCAAAGTCCGTAAATGACCACGCAGCGTTCTTTGGAACTATAACTGAAACAAATCCTGATGGAACCCTAACTCGTACCCTGATTGAAATTTCTAAAATCCAACGACCTTGGCTCCTTGTCTTAGACGATATGGACGAATACTCACTTTGCCACAACATTAAGGTTCTGTTATCTGGCCCGTGGAAACGTAGCGTGAGGGCATCTGGTCATATCCTAATAACCACAAGACGAAAACCAAAATTGATGAGTGAAACAATTCCTCGATTCCACGAGTCCGAGTGTCTTCAACTTGAATGCTTCAATGACAAAGATGGTCTGCAGTTTATTTCTAAAAGAACTGGCTTTTCTTTAGCTGAAGAAGCGGCAGTTTCAGCTTCTAGCCTGGTTAAGATCCTTGGTGGACTACCGCTTGCACTGGAGCAGGCATGCGCGTACATCAGTCGTCTTCCCTGTACTCTCTCTGAGTATTTAGAGCAGTACAAGAAGTATTCCATTGAACTGTTGCGTGCCGCTGATGCAAGCCCTGCATCCTTGTACGAATCACAAGAAAGGTTGGCGGTTCGTACTACGTGGCTTCTTAATTTTGAGTATATCAAGCAAAGTGAGAACGGCAGTTTTGCTGTTAGGTTCCTAAACGCATGCGCCTTTTTCAATCCTACTAAAATACAGCAAGAACTTGTAAATCCTGGAAAACCTCCAATTGAAGACGACGGTTACCGTGACTACGTTGGCACCCCTCTGGGCTCATTGCATATCTTGAAGTTGCTCTCCGACTTTTCCTTATTCCGTAAAAATAAGGATTCTTCTCTTACTGTGCATCGCTTAGTTTTGGATGTTATAAAAGGAAAACTCAGGTCTGATGGTGAGGAAGTGTTGGCTTTGGTGGATGCAATAAGTATGTTGTCTTTTGGTTTTTCGAAATGCCCTTCTCCTGATGATTTATTATTACATCAGGATATTAACACCCAACGTGAAAGAGTTTCCAATCTTTCAATTAATCCCACTCTCTTTTGTTTGTGGCAAACGCTGTGTCTGCACGCACAAGAAGTGGTGACGATTTTAAAGTCGTTTCAGGTTTTAGATGAAAGAGTAATTTTGCCGGAAACTGCGAAAATAGTTTATGAATGTGCTCTTGATCTTAATGTTAGAAGCAAAGTTCTTGATGCCATGCGATATATGACATTTGCGCACAAAATAATGATTCATGTGAAAGAAGGAGGGGATTTGGCAGCTCTCTTTCCCCATAAAGTGCCTCTTCATGAAAATATACGACGGTATATTTTCTATTCGTGTATGACACCCTACATTACCACTGATTCAACGTCTCCTGATAAGCAAAAGCAAAAAGGTTCCAAACATAAAATGGAACAAATGCAAATTTTAGGATATAAACATTTCGAGAATGGCCAATTTAACCAAGCCATCGAAATGTACACTTCTGCAATGGCAGAATTTACTCAGTTTGATCCTGAACTTCTTCACAACCGCGCGGTAGCTTACATGGGCTTAGAGCAGTATGAGAATGCCCTAACTGATACAGAAAATTACATTTCACAGCGGCCAAAGTATTGGCTAGGTTTTGCAATTAAAGCATTAGCTTTGCATGGGTTGAACAGAGCTTGGGAAGCCAGCAGTTTTGCAGCTTTGGCGTTTTATCATAATCGAAACATATTTTCTGAGTATAAGCCTTTCAAGTTGACGTTTTCAGGACTGAAGGATCGAATACAAATTTGTAACTCGTCCAGTCAACTTAATAAGTGTCTTTCGAATGTACTGTCCGGTTCTAAAGCTTCGCCTGAAATCCCTGGTAAGATAATTTTGATAGAATCCGGCGTTTATCGTGTGCGTTTATCTTACGCAGTATCAGTTGACAATTGCATTTTGCTCGGAACTGACAAATTGACATCGAGTGTAGAACTCAACTTTAAGGATTTAATTTGCATTTTGGGAAAACAGGTTATGGCTGCAAATGTATCTCTTGTTTTTTCTAAGGGTTACTGCATAAGCACATGTATCTCGATTTCTTCCTGGTATAGCTGCTCATTTACATGTACCTTAGAAGAGGGTCCCTACACCTTTTATTCCCTGGGGTGTGATACGTTCAACGGCTGTTTCTTCAAAAATAGCAAAAGTCCCGGTTTGACTGTTCAGGGCAAAGCAGATGTTAATCATTGTGTTTTCTCAGGAGGTGAGTACTCAGGGATTAATGTGTCTACTGGTGGCTGTGTAAATGTTAAAGGGAGTGAAATACATGGCAATGATATTGGTTTGTACTTTGCCCGGGAACCTCTCTCTTGTACTGTTGCATATTGCAATATTCTTGATAACAAACGCCATGGTATTTATGTAACACTCGGCACTTCTAATGTCAGCATAGATAATTGTCGAATATACCACAATGATCACAATGGCGTTTTTCTTGAAGAAAGTTCCTCCGCTTCCGTTTCCAACTGTGAGATTTTCGAAAACGGGTGGCAGGGCATTTCCACAATTGGTAACAGCCGTTGCACTGTTCTTCGGAATAAGATATATGGAAATAAGTCTGGGGGTGTCCAAGTGGTTCCGGTGGACCAACGTAAGCCAGTACCTCCGTCGATTGTTAAAGAAAATGAGATATTTGACAATCATGGATTTGGAATATATTGCGAAATGATGTACGAAGACACACCATCCGACACAAGCCTGAGTTTGAGTAAAGATGCCTTTGTCGAGTATATACGTTATCTTCAAAATAGCGGAAAATTATTGAAAGCAGAATGCATTGAGAACACTTGTTATGAAAACGAATCCACCTGTTCATCAATTTCCACAAATGATATAACAACTTATGTTGATTTTTGCTCTCATTGTCGTAAGAGATGTTCCCACACATGCCGCAATTGCTATTTTACCGCTTATTGCAATAAAGAATGCCAAAAGAGCGATTGGAGAAAACATAAAAAAGAATGTCGCGCTATTTTAGAAAGATCTACCATTTGCATTTCTACTTCTCCGGATAGCTGTATGATTATAGAACACAATATGTACGTCCCATCTTTCTCACCTCAGCATCCTGGTGTTGAACCAAAGGGACCAATGCATGCTTGCAAACCTAAGGCTGGGGAACGATTCTTGGTGAAGATACTAGCAGCCGACGATAAATGGCATGTGAATGTAGACGGACCTATGTTCTCTATTTGCGATCGCAGCCTGACTATAAATGGTCGCATTGATCACAGGCGTTATCCCGAACTATACAACATCATCTTGCAATGTGGTGTGAACAGTACCCTTGTTCAGGGTTGGAAAAAGAAATTTTTCTGGGCGTTGCTTCATGAAAAAGACCAGGGTATGCTTCGTGTATTCATTACCGAGTTGCCGAAAAATGAGAATTGGTGAACACTGGGTTTTAAAGTTAACATGAAAATTGTAAATTCCAAGAAGTCATGAACTTACTGTACGTCACCTTTATTTGAACACTCGAGGAAACATGGTTAATCGATTTTTTACAATTAATTTTCACTAGAAAGTAAAAATTCAGTCAGTCAATCACAGCGGTTTTGTGCACTTACTTACCATGTCGCTGATAGACATGCATGCTGTTCTTAGTTAAATGTCGGAACCATTGGCTAATTTCTGCTATAAAACAGTACTAACAACATGTAACATCATGTCTGCATGTCAGATATATGGCTGAAATGAAAAACTTTAACGAAGCCATCGAAATGTAGCCTATTGGATTGGCATAAATTACCTACAGCTTATACAATTTACTAGCTTATTATTCAACCGTATATAGCTTTCTGTATTAGGGTACAAGCCACTCAGATATATACTGAGATTGAAGAATGCATCTCCCTTTGGAGATGCATCTCCCCCGGACGTAAAAGTCTAAATCCTTTTGTCTAAATGTCATAATTGAAGTTTTAGTAAGAACTTTTGACCCATGTGTAAAATAATAAAAATTTAGAAACATTTAAAGTTTTCCACGGGTAAAGAATCACGTAAGTGGAAAGCAGCCTTGAGAACGTTTGAAAAACTACACGTAATGGCCATGGCCAATGGTTCGAATTAGTTTTTCACCCTTTCACATCGAATTTAGGCTTCCACCAAACAATATCAAATTAAGTTTAGAGTTCAACATGGCCGTCCTTAGCTTCAGTTATTTATTATATATTGTAGATGCCTGCTCCAGTTTTAGAATATATCAGTGGTATGCACTCTGTGGTTGTTTTTGTCAAAAAATGTTTAGTTTATAAACAGTTAAATGATCGATGACGCTAAATGAATAAAATATTCTATTCAATTTTGTATTCATATTATCCATTTAAATTACCACAATTTATTAATAGTTTTATCCATGTGATGAAGATATTGAAAAAATGAAGTGAATTTAAGAAGTGCTAGGCCTATATTTATATTATATTCCCTTGTCAATAGATGTTCCACTAGCACTCAGTTTCTGACCTGCAATAATATAAAATACGTTGATTCTCAACTTTATCTATACTTGGTAAAAATACAATGACTGCCTATTAGAATGACACATTATATAACTTGTCACGTTCATTATTTAAGGATCAATGCACTCTGCATGTGAGAAATTTTATTACTATGTCAGTCTTTAGAAATTTATTGTTTTCACAGTCAATGAACACCAAAATATTATCATAGGAGGACGAATTGTTAGGCTGGTTACGCTACTGCTTGCATATGCGTCAAGAACCCTCTCACTTCGCGAACAGAAATACTCAACAACCGAAAAAGAAGCATTAGCTTTTGCTTTTGACACAGCTCATGCATTTTCGCGTATATCTTCTAGCTCGCCATTTTATGCTAATTTCTGACCATAATGCCTTACGATGGCTGCATACTATGGAAGGCAAAGGCCGTCAAGCGCTGTGGATTTTGGATTTACGGCGAGTTCAATTTTTTAATCGTGCATGTGGATCGTATTCATAATAACGCGGATGCGCTCCCTCGCCTTGTTAAACCTACTTTATCAGCGTCCACCTCAAGCTAACAGGTTGCACACCAAGTCACAAACCAATATTTGCATGTTTCGAGAATAGGTGACAAGAAAAAATTTTTTATACAGTTATAGAAACACGCGGAGGAGTTTGTTTCACATATGAATAATTTTAATCATACATATGAAATTTCTTTCACATGTGAAAGTGCATGTAAAAAATCCTTAACTTCATCAGTTTTCATTTTCATAACATTTTTGCGTGTTATAGAATTCATCTTTCGTCTAAAATGGAGATTTGGTCACCTAGCCGGAGGTTACTTTATGAAATGTATTGGTCGCTACAGGCACGTCGTCGGAAACGGGAAACACGTTAAATTTAAAACTAGGAAAATTATAAGTTCGGCCGTTGTATCTCAAAATCACGTAATGCGTCAAAATTGGACGGTCAATCCCGATTGTTACCCGGAGAGTGCTCGATCGGTATAATCGGTATTGCTCGTAAACGGTCCGTGCTTTGGAGGAACGTCTCAAAGGCTATCTTTAAAAGGGGAGTCGGGAAGCAAGGGAACTGATGGAACGGTGCCTGGCAATTAGTGTTATTGTGATATCAAATACGTATTATCAGTACAACCAAAGTGTGTGTGATTTTGGCCATTCGTAAATTTCCAGTTCGCATTTCATTACTTAAAAGAGCTTTCTGTGCAACTTTTGCGATGGATACGGCAGATTTGTGCGATTTCTACGGAGATCTCCCACAATACGTTGAACCGATATTTCGAGATTTTGACCGGAGGACCAAATTTCATGGTAATTAAAATATCGACGGTGAAGTGCCACGACGACAATTTCTACGTCAAGACTGCACTAGCAGAACCAGGAGATGGAAGGGTCCTGGTTGTTGATGGAGGTGGTTCATTGAGAAATCCCAAACAAAGTTATTTTCTTGCTTGTGTCACTAATGACAATTTATTTATTGTTATTATTTTGAATAATGCCAACCTGGCAAGCATTATTGTGAAACTCAGGCATTATTGTATTAGATTTTACCCAAGTAAAAAAATAATATACATCCCCTTCCAGTAAAATTAAAACTATAAATAGCATAATAGTATTGCTGTGTGGCTTTTAAAATCATGTGGAGACATAAAGCTAGTGTATTCATTTATTGGCATACAAATTTTCATTTGAACCGTGAAATATATTCAAAATATAATGAAAAATGCAACAGAACATATGCTGTTATATGGAAATAACATAGCTGAAGAAAATGTTCTGTGTATATAATTTTCACTTTGCTTCCTAATATGTTTTATATAAGACATTATACACATGTATAATTGTGATCATATCCAAATGAATAATAGAAATTGTAGTATTTGCAGTTTTGTTACTTTTGTGCGTTACTTTTAGGGAACTTGGGAGTAGGAGAACAGGGAAATGGGGTAGCAGGAGAACTGGGGAACAGAGCCACAGAGGAATTCCCCTTTACCCCGCTCCCCGTCCCTAGTTCCCCCATCCTCTTGTTCCTCCGTTCCCCTGTTTCTATGTTCCGCCCTTTGCCTGGTGGTTCTGTTCTCCCGCTTCCCATTTCTCCTGCCTCCCACTCCCTAGTTCCTCCATTCCCTGTTTCCCAGTTCTCCCGCTCCCACTGTACCCCCATTCCCAATTCCCCCGATTCACCGATACTCCGTTCACCCTTTTAAAGATAACCCGTCTCATACGTGTGGTCTCATATTACATCACGTCACAAACTTTCTGCTGGCTGTGGTAAATATGCTTGAGAAACTCGTTTTCGCATCAAAAATTTATTATACATCCGCGTAGAATAGTCCAAATATATATATATAAATAGGATATGTGGTTAAAGAATTGTTTTAAAAAGAGTACAGTTATAGAATACCAGGCCAATAGTCCTTTATGTTAAAAATCTGTTAGATGATCAATTTCAAAGTATAGAACTGCCCCGTTCTTTAAAAATAGTGTTTATCCTTGTTTTCTGGAAGTCCATTTGATGGATAAGAAACATAAAACAAGGTACATGTATCTAGGATAACTCGCTCCATGCAAAAAGGCCCTTAGCGCATGATTAGGTAATTTAACTTTACAAGGGCTTTGATCTTTCAAAGATAGATTTAATTACTTATTTGAAGGTATTCATATGTGTCCATTGCATATCATGGCATATTGCATGAATGCTTATAACATATAGACAAAATCTGTAAGAACTGGTATACAAATACATTGTATAATAGTAATACGGTTATTTTTTTTCTGTTATTCGCTTAAAAAACAATTAATTTATAAAGTGTATTATTAACTTGTAAAGTGTCACTTGTCAATTAACTAATGGCGGATGCCGGCAGCAAATCAACTAACACCTATACCAAACCCAACCAACACCCACGGTTGCCCAATTCACTGTCATCGAGAACAGTTTTAAATATCCGACTAAAACGGGCGACATGTAAAAACATAAGGATGTAAACATCCGAGTTTCCAGTGAGCTCCATATATATCAGAAGAAAGAACTTCGGTCACTCGTAACAGAAAAAATGTGAACCTCAGATAGCGGAAATTAAAGAAGATATAGTTTCATCATAGTACACACCACAGCCTTCAATCATAATGCATGAATGGTCAACAGCGACCAGACGGTGACCACCATCATCCTAACGCTTGCCTAAATCTCTATAATTTGTCTGCCCAAAAATGGCCTTATCCCAACTTTGGTTGTGGCTAAGGATGCCGGGTAAACAGAGTAAATTACTACAGCTCTAACTTGCAATTATATTGGCAGATTTTTATCCCAAAATATTTTTTAGAAATGAGAATGTTCTTATGGTACTTTCAATTTGAAACTGGGCCGTGTAATTCTACACTGGATCCAGCACAGTTTTCAAACTTAAAACAATTTCAAACTTAAGCACTTCAAAATCTTACGAAAGTTCAGGATATTCCACAGTCGCCTCGAAAACGAATAATTGTCCCCGAGCCGGCGCGAAGCGCCGAGCGAGGGTACTAATTCCGCTGGGAGATTTATTACACCCGGGTATTGTGACAGAACATAGCGGAATCCAAAGTTGCTCAAATTCTATGTCGTGGACCGTGGACGTTCAATGGTCATGGTACTTGTGCGCATGCGCGAAATGTAAGCGAGTAAAGTACTGGTAATTAGTAACTCGCTGATTGGCTAAGATGAACAGTTTGGATTAAAACTAAAACGTCAACTAAAAAATTTTGATGAAATTTTTAAATTTATGTTTTCATATCTATGGAATATACGTATTTTTAATTAAATTAGAAGGACTTGAATGTGGTACGGACTTTTCACGGTTTAACAAATAACAAGACCAAATTTTCGAGTTTCGACCGAATTCACAGCGTATAATGAAGTCGGAAGATTTTGCACTTGATGATATTTCATCCGGCACAGGCACAGCTTTAAAGAGTAATTCTTTTGTGGTAAACACAACTTTAATATTTTCAAATGTATTTCACTATAAATCTGAATGTTTTTATGATATACAACATTGTAATTTCATTTATAAACTTGGTTTTCATAATGAAAAAAACCGTGCAAAAACCGGTCGAAGCGTAACATAAAACTTCGGAAGTTGTATGAGACGTCTGATGTTATATTTCATGGTAATTAATAATTAAAACAATTTATAATAACACTGACTATAGATGAGTGACTTAACTTCCGCAAAAAGGTAGGAATCTTGTCGTATTTTTGCCATTTTTTCACAAAAATATGAGCGTAAACTTTGATTCTTTAAAAATATACAGCCGTTGCGAGTTGCTATGACTACAGTGTTTCCACGTCCAGAAAAGTATTTCCATACTTTTCTCAATTTCTTTTTCTCTCTATACGATATACCCTCCAAAACCCCCAACCACATAAATTTTCTAACAATCATGTTACCATCCCTATGCTTAACTGATTTCGTTCAACCGAGGCGAGGGGTTGCTGCATGCATGTATTTCTATTAATATATCTGAAACCTTACCTGTTAACATTATCAGGTATTTTATTTCCCACGAGGTAAGAAACAAATTGAACTGAAATATTGCGTGTTTTTTTTATAGCAATAATATTAAACCATACAAATTTAGTATAATTTTATATTGAGAATGAAAATGATGTTCAGGAATCATTTAGGGAGATATATGCATCTACATCCTCTGATCATAGGTTTGTACACACTATAAAATACAAAGTAGCAATATATGGTAAAAATGACACGATAGTTAGGATTTATATAATCAGAAAGCCTACGAGTAAAACATACAGCCTCTAAAATGAATTTGATCACCAAAGTCTCTCTAAATTATATACAGACGCTCGAGGATTGAGGAATCTTCATTTGCATGGACAATGAATTTGTAAGCTTATACATTATAATATATACATTATAATATATATACATTATAATAAATATATATATATATATATATATTATGATAAAATATTTGGTTGGTTTAAGTGTGTCTTGCACTTTTGGATTGTTCAATAGAACCTTGGAAAATCAACTGTTAAATGATATTTGTTACAGAAGAAAAACTAACATTGATGGATGGCATGTAAACGTTATTAGAGCTGTTAGGGTGATGTTAATCTTGGGTTTAGACCTTGGGGTCAATGTGGTCAATCCTAAATTGCTATTCGAACTTCACTATTCATACTGACTCAGGGAATGTCACTAGGTCTCTGTAAAATAGATTCATAATAGGCCTCTAATTGTTCGTACCACATGCTCAGGCTAGGTGGAGAACAGGGTGGATCACACTGGTCTGCGGGACATTCAACAAATCGACTCTGTTCAAAGAAGGAAAATGTTTCATTAGAATAATAATTGAAATGATCTATACCGAAAAGGGAATTTTTTACACATTTAAATAATATTTATTGGAATACTAAAAAAATTGCACCCGTGCATGCTTTGCTTTCTTTCGTCATATTAATATAGCGGTCGTATAATTATATGAATCAACACATTGGTGTATACATACGGGTAATGTCGCAACTCCTCGCAAGAATGATTTTTAGTGGCTGAACTTTACAATACATTTCTGTTTCAACCAATAGCACAGCTTCGTTCTTTAGAAAGCATAGAAAAGCATTATTCAATTGGACGAAAGCTTCCGAGCACTACGACATGTCCCATACATATACACGTGAAATAAGGTTTTGCTTAATTTATACCTCAAGCTCGGCAAGGTAATAATTCCGTCCAGAGAATTAAATTACGCCCGGGAATTCAAATGCGGAATTTAAGTCGTTCGTCAAAATGTCATGGACGTTGGATATTAGACGTTTTTTGTTAGTTATGCGCATGCGTGAGTTAAAGAGGTGTCAAAACTTAACAAACATGCGAATGGCTCAATTAAAATTTTAGTGTTCGCGTCATTTAGTTCGCGGCCATTTTAAAACGTTTTTGAGATTATGTTTTTTTATCTCAGATCACCTAAAAAATTTACAGAAGATTCACGCGTTAAAATTTGATTGAAAAGCAAAGTAAAAGATGCCTTTCGACAATGAAATCTGTGACAGCCAAGTTGCTGGCAAAAGAAATTACAAATCTACTTTGTAAACAAACATTTATCATCAAACACTCTATTGAAGTTATTCATCATATTGCGCGTTTATAAGTTTGACGGGAAAGAGTATTGCGCAGATGAAAAAAATCTACTGATGCTAAACCAGAGGTTTCATGCAAGCTTGAAACATGCACATTTTAGGCTTCCTTTCGATCGGTATAGCACTTATCATTCTTATATTGGCGTATTACTCTGTTTTAAACTCCGAATGACTGTTAGGATGCAAAGAAACGACAGTCTCCGTTTCGACACGGTTCTCACATACTTTTTATTCATTATTCAAGGTCACAATGCGTAGAGTTCTTAGTGTGAAGTAATCCAAAATTCCTAACGAGTGTTCAAAACGTCAATAAAACCGTGAAATCTTTCACGCTTTATACTTGAACAAATGGTAATAAAAGTTCCCGCGTACTATAAAAGCCATAATATATGTTCGCAATAACATAATTTATTACATTAACTATAGATCATTGTAAGACAATCAATGGGGTAACTGAGTTTTCAGCATAAAAAATACTTTTATATTGGCATTATACTGTGATATTCATATACAACTGCCACTAATTAATTGCAATTGAATGAACTTACTTTGTCTACAGCGCGAGAACGGTCCGAAGCTCTCATTTTTGCGGATGACAATGTTGCAGAGAAAATCAACAACAACACAAACACACAAACAGATTTCATTGTTGCAAGTTATAGCTAAATAAACATAATGTCAATTAAGCATTGGCCCGATTTACAACTCTCATAGATATTCCTGTATCTCTTCTGGTGGGTATAAAAGCTGGAAAACAGACGGATACAATCCTCGGTCAATCAAGACGATAAACGCTTTTGATGTTCATCTGAGGGCCTGAATAACACTCAGGTTTACCTAAATTCAGTGCTATACATTAATATCACAAGTATAATAATGAAAAGTTGACTGCGAAATGTATAATTACTTGAAAATGATTGCCACGCGCATCTTGGTACAAGGTATTTTGAACATAATTTTTTCACATACCTTAAAATGCACATGCATGCAGTCTTGACTTCAATTGTCCAAGGATGTTTAGCTTGTTATGGAGTTGGTTAGGGTTATACAAACATTTTCTAGGTGACGTGGTATTTTCATGAATAGTTTAACAAAGGCAGAATCGAAGTCGTCTTATAATTTCCGACAAACATCTCCCAAGCCCAACCCTTGTCACAAGGCGGTAGCGCACACTTTATTTGGTAACGTTAATAATATTTTCTTGCATAACAAATTTTTCCGTGGATTTATTATTCATATTCTTAGACTAATACTGAGTTATATAATCGATTTCTCATCCTGAAAGTTTGGGGTCGTTATTCAATTATTGCTTACTTATATCAGTTAGATAGTAAATTTAAGTGGTAACCTGTGAATTTTAGCCTCCGATTTTATATTTCAAGGAACGAAATTGTACGTCTGTTAACATTTATCATATATAGGAGTGTATTTTACGTGCTGACTATTCAGTAAATATCTTCTCAGTAGTAATAATACTTTTGCGATATTTTTCACAGCCACGGTCCTGGTTTGCTATAAAAAATATGTCCAGTTGATTTTGGGGTAAGTTAAGCTATAGTATAGCGAATATATTTTTAGAAGACGCGGAATATATCCAGAAACATAAATTATTCAAAACACTTCTAATATTTCCGACAATATTTCCCAATTTTAACTAATCTTGTCACAAAGACGGCGCATCAAGGTTTAATATTATTTTTTACCTAATTATCTAACACATCAGGCGCACGCGAACATTTCTGGCCTAACATTATCATACACACCTTGTAGTAAAATCACCCTTAACTGAGATCTTTCATGTATAATCTTTTTAAATGCCTTGAATTATAGTCATGAAGTTAGGAAAATACCATATGAGTGATGAGACTATATTATTTGTTTATTTCATATAAATGGTCCGATATATTAGCTAGTATATTCCTACTTGAATTTTGTGCTAAACTTTGTACGTTAATAGTATATAGTATTAAAGAAAAAGGAAACTGAAGGCAAAAATAATTCAATCTATTTGGTTCACTAAGGGTTTTATGAACTCATTTGGTTGCAAGTATATCAGAGGGCGTCTTACAATTAGCCTAATTTTAACTTCAGTATCGTTATATCAATGGGTATGAGTACATAGACAACTATGAGTAGACATAATTATAGATGTGGCTGGCCAAGCGTGCTGTTGTTAGGTAGTGTTTACATCAATCGTTTATGAAATTTCAACCCAAAAATATAATCACTGGTTCGCAATTGTCCATTTCTGTATCGCTATATCAAAGAGTATATACTATTGAATAGGTTAAAAAGTTCAAATTTTTCGTCTGCACGCGCATTCTGCAATCTTCTGGCAGCTGTGAAATAATGGCAATGAAATAATGACAAGGTTATATTAAATCAGACGATTCGTTTTTACCGTGTGCAGCTTCACATTTTCTGGCAAAGTCGTATTTTGTTCGGCATTTATAAATCTTTTTGGGCATAATATTTGAAGTCTAATAAGTATTAGGAATTGCGGTTAATAATTATATATGTACCAATTGCAGCTGTGACGTGTTCATCAAAAGCCAGCTGACAAAAATCTGAAGCTATATATCAGATTAAATACATAAAGTGAGGAATTGAGCATGCAAACTAAGAAATAATTAAGTCTATTTAGATTGCTATAGGTTTTATCTATTCGTTTGGTTGTAAGAGTGTCTCATACATGCCGTTAGGTTAGTTTTTACACCAATATTGATGGAGCAGATTCAAACCATTTTAGCCCTGCCGTGCCAATAAATTAAGCGGTAGTATAGTGTCATAACATCGACGGCAATTTTCGAAGAGGATTTGATGTTCAGTATACTTGAACAGCATCAGAGGTTGAAATTTCAACAGTAAACTAAGCTGGTATAGGGTTCATAAAACGAGCAGTAATGATTTCAATGTAATGACTATATTTTGTAATGAGTGATAGAAATATTTGCATATTTATAATTTTGAAATATCGACGCATAGGCTTCCAGTCATGCCGTTATGTTAGAGGATGTTTTGCTTGGTTTAAAATGCACTGAAAATGATTTGTTTGGTGACAGTATAGCGAGGGGTGCTTCAAGCATGCATGCACGCATGTGATTTTTTTGCATTGCGACTATTTGCAGTGAACAACAACATGTTGAGTCCACACGTGCTTATAGTGTATCAAATTATTAATAGTACTATATGCTAATCATAATAAAATTTATAATTTTACATAGATACAACTGTTGTAATATGAGTCCGAAACTTTCAATTTAAAGCACATTACAAACACTGCATAGGGACTAGAGTACTAGTGTAGAATGCGAGTGGCTTTTATATTAGCTGGCCGGGTAAGAGCAGAAGCTTTTAAGCTATAGATACTGCAAATAGTAATTATTAAATATTACGGGGTTTTTAAACCGAATAATTATATAATTAATTTTATCGACCGATATGCCATTTGGAATGCCGCTAACTTCCAGCAGACATCCAGCCAAGACGTCCCAATCGAATCGACGTGCTTTTTAAGTCGTGGTAGTAAACGTCACTAAACATTTAACCTGGGTAATAATATACATACATAATTTTGTAGCTATATACAGTGATACAGATGTAGCTATACACAGATTAGACGTATTATAATACACGACAGTTCCACGCGACAACTTTGATGCCCATGTGCTTTCGTGTTGCGCATGCAGGCTGCTCAATAATGTATTTATAACATTTCTATTGCGTTTTTCAGTAGTTCTTGTTCTCAAAATGAAATGTCATAGTGTGTTACAATAATTATCTTTTATTCCTGTTAGCACACGATTGTTCCCCAGTTTTTGATCGTTACTTTTAATTAAATGCCACCAGGTTCAGAAGCTATTATGGCGTCACATGCATGCACAATAAAAAAACTAATTGTGACGTCACAATTTACGAGCGAGATAATTACTGACGCACGCCGTTCTGTTCTGTTTTAATTTGCTGCAAATCTTGGTCGCCTACACGAGTTGCTAACGATGGGGAATACCAGTAGCCGCAGAGAACGAAATAAACTTCTCCGTCGTGGGACGAGTAATAAAAAGAAAAATAACGATATCTCAAAAAATAGCGTGAGAAATATTAAAAAAAGACCACTCCAGTCATTCCAGTCAATGTTAAGAAACCTATACAGAGCGTCATACCGCAACCAAAGAATAAAATAAAATCGTATAGATCTGAAAGAAATCAAAGAACAAAACCTACGTCGGAAGCGGACAGCAAGGTATGAATATTAATCAGTCCTTTGTTACTCATAAATGGCTCAGTCTTGAATTGCATTCGTCTTTTTTCAGTCTCTCTTTTTCAGATTTCATTGTGCTTAATCAAACCTTGTCTTAAAACACAATTAGATAATCAGGTTTCTGATTCCCGTTTTTTTTTTCCAATTTAATGAATTCAATTTTTGGGTAACAAAATGTGTGTCTTTCCGAGTAAAAATAGTGATGAGAAATCATTGTCTCAATTTAGCACACCTTCAGGCTGAAATTGCCACCCAGCCACCAAGATAAACAATTAAGACCTTCAATTTTTCTATTTTATAACATTTTACATGATTTCCTTAATGTACAAATTACTAGTTTTTACCAGTCCTGCATGGCCGGCTGAACCAATATTGTAGGTCCATTGTTTTTATTTTTATTTATTTATATTCATTTAATTATTTAATTATTTTTATATACATTGCAATTTGGGTTATGCGTATTTTAACTAGGTGTCCTTTCTGGTGTTGGAAAACAAATTTCCCGTCCCATCAGATAAGCATTTTTTGTATATTGAACTGAATTAATATCAGTAGAACGAGTTCGAATAACTTGTTATCGGGCTCATGAAGTTTTTTGAAATATGTCATGCATATATATTTATGTAAAGAGCACCAAGGATTTTGGCCGGCATAATTCGAGATGTACAAAGTTCTCTAATCGACAGCAGGTGGATATCCGGAAAAAATAAGTAGCAACAAATTATCAACTCTTTCCATCTGCTGCATGTGGAACAGTAAGGCTATAGTATCGTCAACATAAATTATTTTAATCGGTTGTTGGATATTGTTGTTGTTGTTTTTGATATCAGTTGTTGGAATGCTGCAAATTGTTTTCGGTCCAATATCAGGAGGATATAGTAGGGTACTATGATCCGGAAAGATTGAAAAGATTCTAGAATTTTTAATAATGTAGAGGTTATAATTATAATGATATGAGTGAAAATAAATATCTGAAGACGGGTATATGTCAGATAATGGAATTGTCTTTAAATTTGCAACTGGAATGGCATTTGCGTATTTCCACTGCATTGGAACGTTTGCCTGTTTGATAGAAGAGCTAAATTATTGACACACGTTCGGAGAGTTGCATAAAACACGTATTATGAATCAAATTCGGATGCTTTTAAAAATATCGCTAGTGGAAAACCGGCTTAATTAAGGCTTTGTGTTCAAAGTGTTTAAATGAGAAAACGAAAGGCGAACGAAATTTGCATATTTCTAATTGTATACTTCACACCAGCGATCGTGAACACAGCATAATGACATTATTTTCGTAGCCGAATTCGTTGCAGGGCTTTGGCATAAAATCAGTTGAATTAGAATGGTTCACTAACTATTTGTTTATTCGTTCGCAACGCGCAACGTCTACGGTTTTGTATGAAATTCCATCTGACATTGGGGGGTTTGCAAGGTTCCATCTTGAGACCCTTTTATTTATACTCTATATAAATGATATTGATGATCACTTCAACAATCCAAATATCATGCATAAAGTATGCAGACGATACCGTCTTACTTCTGGCTGGACGTGATATTTCGGTAAAGTTGAAGATCGACTTACCAATGAAATGCAAGGGTTGCTATAAGTGGTTGAATGAAAATGATCTTGTGGTTTTGGTGGATCAAACAGTAAATTTAAATGAACATTCTTGTTTGGCCTTCAAGAAAGCAGCTGGCAGATTGAGATTGCTGAAAAATATACGATGTTCTCTAACAATGGTCGCTGCTGAATCTATATATAAGTGCATGATTATGTCCCTACTTTCATATACAAGCATT